AATTTCATGTTGAAATTTCATTAAATAAGATTATTTCACTCATAAAATGTCGCCATTAAAGTGGAATCATTCCTACCTTTCATCACACGCTACTTATTATAATATAGATAAAAGTTATAGGTTTGCACATGACAGTAATTTAAAGTCAAAAAAAGTCCTTAATTGGTTTGGGATTGGTACGTTCAACCTACATACACAATCCTTTTTTTATCTGATAAAGTACACATGGCCACAGATCAAGTTACCCAAAACCAGCATAAATGGAACTCGCGCCTTGCGCATTATCATACTTAGGTAACCCGTCGGAGTCCCGCTTATACTGGATTTGAGTAACTTGATCTGTGCCGTGTGTACAACCGCACTCATATGACTAAACAAACAATTAGAGAGAAACTGGAGAAAAAAAGTTAATCGTACTCATTTTAATAAAAAGAGTTTTATTCATAAATTAAAAAATCAAATTTTACATCATTCATTTCTTTGTAAATTTGTATCCTGAGCGTTGACATTACTTTCGCCTGTAGATGATGTTGTTGCTGGGGTATAAATTACGTCATAAGACGTGATATTAAACAGGCCGCTTTCAGTCGAAATAAGAGTTTCATTGTCATTCACTGCAGCAGAACTAATAGCATTGTCGTTAAGACTCGAAGTATCCTGGATTATACTATTGGTTTGGTAATCTTGATTTATCGGTGACAAACTGTCAAGCTCAGTAAAAGCACTAGAACTTGTTGTAGGTATGGGACTGTAGTATGCAGGTTGTGTTTGACTTTCCATTTCCATAACTATATTTAACACTTTTGTTCTGAACATTAGTTTTTGATATCTAGTGAATCTTTTTAATGAAGGCTGCAGAGACTGAAAGAAAGCCAAATCCTCACTTTCTAGCTCCAGTTGATTAGACTTTAAGCATTCTAATAACTGTGCCTCAAATTCAGATGGTGCTTGCTTTTTAGATTTTATTTGTTTTTGTTTTGATGTTGGGTGAGAACTTTCTTGACGTGAAGTATCTGGTTGCGTGGACTCATTAGGTGTTTCTAAATTACTTTGTTCAGACATTTCTTCACAGAGTGACTCTTCTCCAGCAGTTTCCGTTGTACTGTCTAAGAAAGTCAAAATGTCATAGTAAGAATATTTCTTCTTCTTCTTCTTACTCCCAGAGCCGGATGGCTGATTTTTTTCAGATATCTTGTCTTTCTGGTAAGTGTCCCTTGCTGTTCGCCAGCGTTGTTGTATTTTCTTGTCTGAAATGACAAAATATAATAAGTAAGTGGCAAAAGTACACACAGTTTCAGATCAAGTTACCCAAAACCAGTACCAATAAACGGAACTTGCTAGGGCCTCGCCGGGCGCCGAGTCGTCTACGATAATAAACAACGCATGAGTCCTGTTTATACTGGTTTTGGGAAGCTTGATCTGTGGCCGTGTGTACAAATCTGATATTAGTTGGAAATTTAACTGCATTCGATTAAAGGCCCTCCTTAATTCACACATGTTGTCAACTTTACACTGTCTCATGAAGCATTAGATAAATCAAGCAATATATATATACCTATACAGAGTGGAAAAATAAGGCCGCAGTTGAAGGAAAAGTACCCTTAGGCGCAACGCAAACGGCGGGCCGGCGCAGGCCGGTCAATTTCGCCGCGAACGATAGCGCAAAGTGAATCTTATACTAGACGCAGACGGCGCGGCCGGGGCGGCGCGGCGCAGACATCGACGAAATAATTCATTTTTTACAAAAATAATTAGAACTTCATTTAAGGATTTTTGGAAAAACACCGGATTGAATCGGGCAATTTGTTTATTTGTTACAGTAAAATTTGCCATCATCAAAATTAAGGTGAAAACTTCCGGAAGTCACTAGCGCTGTAAGTTTTTAATTTGTTTTAACAAAAATTTGCTTTATTTGCATCTGTCAACCTTCATGAAGGAGGACATCTTGTAATGTAAATATTGCCTGAAATAAACGATATTTCATTATATTATATTATATATATTTATTAGATTCCTTTCATTTGCCGGAAATTTTACCATAGGGGTTAATTTATACAGAGAAGATTTCTTATAAAATATTTACAGCATAGTTATGTGTCTCAAATCTGCTAAAAGTGGCCACTTTTAGCAGATATGAGATACATAACTATACTTCGAACTTTTCATATGAAATCATAACTGCATAAATACCCCCCTATGATAAAATTTTCGGCAAATCATAGAAATCTAACGTAGCTATAGTACTGTAGTTAAAACGAATTAAAAACTTCTAGCGCTAGCTACTTCCGTGCCCTTTCACCTTAAGGGTATTTATTTTTCTTCTGAAGTAAAATTCGAGCGGTGCATGCTGTCTTATGTCTGATGTCAGCATTATTAATATATTATGTTATCATATTATTAATATATTGTTTTTGTTTTCAGATATTTGGCAACTGGTAATACATTCACTGATCTACACTATTCCTATGTGATTGGAATTGCAACAATTAGCGAAATAGTAAGACAAGTTTGTTACATAATATGGATTGAACTAAAGTCTGAATGTATTCCACAGCTTAATGGGATCAAATGGAAAGAAATCGCAGAGGGATTTCTCACATATACAAATTTTCCTAATTGCTTGGGTGCAATTGATGGAAAACATATAAGAGTGATTCGGCCGCCGCACAGTGGATCACTATATTTTAATTATAAGAAATATTATTCTGTAGTGCTCCTCGCAATGTGTGATGCTGATTATAATTTTACATATATTAATGTCGGTACCAGTGGAAGCAACGCCGATTCAACCATCTTTAGAAGGAGTCAATTGTATACGAAACTGGAAAGTAACACGTTGGGTATCCCTGACCCGCAAGAGTTGCCTATTATTTGCCCCGAAGTAGCTTATCCATCTAGTGTAAGAGCAAAGTTGCCGTTCGTGATAGTGGGAGACGAGGCATTTGGTTTATCATCACATGTGATGCGGCCTTATGCTCGTGATAATTTACCTTACAAAAAGAAAATATTTAATTACCGTCTGTCCAGAGCTAGAAGGTACATAGAATGCACTTTTGGAATTATGTCAAATAAATTTAGAATATTTCACAGATCCATGAATGTCAAGTTAGATCTAGCACAATTAATAGTCAAGACGGCATGTGTACTTCACAATTTCATAAGGAAACGGGATGGCTACAAGGTCAGCCATACATTTGTCACAAATGGTTTTACGGGACCACTACCCAGGCAGCAGACTGAAAGTAGTAATACGTCGGCAAGTAATATCAGAGATATATTTGCAGATTACTTTATCAATGAAGGAAAAGTCTCCTGGCAACACCTATATATAATTAATTAACTAAACTCAAAAGGTTTTAGAAGGTTTTTGATGTTATTTGTGAATTAAATAATTATGCTTATATTAATAAAGTAATGATGCTTGTATAAATAAAATAATGAACCAAACACATACCCGCCTCTTTTCTTTCCTCTTCGCTCAAATTTTCGTAGTTAGGTGCCAATTCCTTCAAAATATCTCTCCATGCAGCCTCCCTCGCGTCCCTGTGTTTGTATAATTCATTGCGTTTATCCCACAAAACGGGCCGCAGATGAACTTCAATGATTACTCGTTCTGTATCGATTTTCATTTCGGTAGTACAATACGGCGCGTGCGCCCCGCTCGACTCTAAAATGGGCACTGAAGTTGTAGGCAGCGCTTACGCATGCGGATACCCCGCACCGGGGTGACGCCCCGCACAGCGCCCCGCGTCCCGCGTGCGTTTATCACGCTTTACAATAGATACCTATATGAAATTGTTCTTTGCGGATGCTACGCATGCGGTCCAATCCCGCGTGCGTGAGCAAATCCGCGTGACACTAAAAGCGCCCTTATTGCACTAAATTTGAGCACGCGTGTTGCAAAGAACCAAGACTCGGCGTTTGTTCTATACGTACTACGTAGTACATATTATCATTTTTGGAACGAAGTTCCTTATCGGACGGTACGGGTTTGGCGGATGGGAACTGGGCGACAAAAAGTGTAAGATTTTTTCGTCACTACCCTTGTATCATAGTGTAGACGGCCTTGGCAGCGAAATAAGGAAGTGAGATGGAATAATATCCATCTCCCTCGCACTTTTCTTATCTTGACATAAAAGAAATATTATTTTATTTCAAATGACGCTTCATTTTAATAGACGCTATTAATTCATTTATTTGTATTTGTTAATCAATAATAATATACTACGCAAGGAACTTTGTTCCAATCGAGTGTTCCACGAAACTCATGGATTTTTTTTTATAGAATAAGGGTGGCAAACGAGCACACACTACGTGGTAGAGCCATGCTGCAGCTATATTATGGTTGTAGCACGAATGGGTCGGCTCGACCGGGGAAGGACCACGCTCTCACAGAAAACCAGCATAAAATAGCTGCTTAACGCTGCTGTGTTTCGTATAGTGAGTGTAGAGAATCGCAGACCCTTTTTACTGGAAAAGAGGCATTACATCTTAGTCCTCACGGGTGACAACGCATCTGCATCTTGAGTCTTTATTGAGGATAGATGTAGATGTCTATGGGTCACAGTAACCACTTACCATCAGGTGGACTATGTGTTCGTTTGTCACCCGATCCTATAAAAAAAACACAGTACATCTGACGGTAAGTGGATGCTGTGGTCCAATCATAATGCAGATGCCTTGTCACCCCTGAGGGTTAAGATGGAATGCCTCGTTTCTATTAAAAAGATTCTCCGGTTCACTACACTCTCCATACGAAACACAGCAGCATTAAGCTGCTATTACGCTAGTATTTTGAGAACGTGGTACTACCCCGGTCGGGCCGACCAATTTGTGCTACAACCATAATATAGCTGCAGCGTAGATCTACTACGTAGAAAATCAATCAATGGCATAGCCCTTTGCATCCCACGCTGAGTGACCAGCTTTTTTGGCTATCACGTTTGGAAATTGTTACAAATAAAACAAAAAATGCTTAATGATGTAATAAATTTTATTATCTATATCTGGTAGTCGTTGGGATCGTACAGTTCCGAGAGCAGCCGGTAGATGTAGGACGGTGAGCTCCCTCCACTAGAAAAAACAATAAATTAATGTTGGTTTGAAGTTAGGATAAAATATTTCGAAAGATACAGGTATATAATATTGCCGTGTAAGATACTCTACTATATTTGGACTCGTAGGAATCGTAACAGGTAACTGTAGCAATTTTAGAGTTCTCATGGCCCGGCTACACGCTCTATCTTACTTGCACAAATTCTAATTTGCATTATTTAAGCATGTACGTTAAAACAGCGTGTGGACGCTAGCTATGCTATATTTTCTTGAGAAAACTTTGTACAAACTGTTTGCGCATGCAAGTCGCTGTGTATAGCCGGAGATTATCGCTGACTTGATTGACGACAAAATGATAGTCACTTTCTAGTTTTTTTTTTATAGAATCAGGGTGAGAAAAGAGTCACAGTCCAAGTCCACACATATTCAGAACCACACTCGATTAAGAACCAAAATGCAGATGCGTTGTCACCCCTGAGTGCTAAGATGGAAAGCCTTGTTTTCAGTAAAAAGGTATTCTGTGAAAGCGTACTTATGCTAGGAGCATACATACATATATGCACCTACTGTATGTCTATATATATATTATGATATGAAACGCGCGCGTGCGCACACTAACACACACACACGCACAGATTTTTGGGACGAGTTCCTTATGGCACGGTGGAGTTTTGGTGGGAACTTGAACGGCGGCGGTTTGCTGCTCCTGTCACTTTATACCATTATTGTTTAAATAATGGTTTAAAGTGATTTTGATATGTAAAAGTGGTGCGAATTTGTGTAGGTGAAAACAAGTGCTCTGGTGGTGATGTGATTCTCAAGATAAGGTGTCTGTCTGCGTAGGCGCCTTGAGATACCATGGCCAACTGTCAGCTGTCTGCTGGCTCAAGTTGCCGTCAAAATCTCCCAAGATCTGCACAATGTGACGCATCAACTTATTGTGAAGCAGTGTACTATGAAGGATAATTATACATTGTAATTTCAGGCTCAGAAGGGCTAGAACCTAGAGCGGTAAAGCCAGTTATAAAAAAAATATCACACGATACGAATTTGAGGGATGGGGGCTAGGCGAGAAAAAGTGTAAGATTTTTCGTCACGACCAACTTTCTATAGTGCGAGCGAGATGGAATAATATCCATTTCCCTCGCACTTTTTCTTATCTTGCCATGAAAGAAATATTATTATAAATGTCGCTCATTTTAATAGACGCTAGTAATTCATTTATTTGTATTTGTTAATCAATAATATAATACGTTTATCAATAATAATATACTACGAAAGAAACTTTGTTCCAACCGAGTGTTCTACGACACTCACGCATGTATTTTTTTATAAATATTTTATCAAAAGGAAAGGAATGTTATTCTTGTAACTAAAGTACGATAATTAAGGAAGAACTAGTTTTCCTGTCACAAGTATTCAAAAATACTTAAAATGAGAACTGTGTGTATTGCTGTTGATGTAAATTTATTGTAACAGAAGAATAAACATTTTTTGATTTTGATTTTATACTTTTCACTATACAACATGTATTGCAATCAATTATGAATAGCAAGTACTGTTTAAACAGCTACTAACATTTCGTTACCAAACATGAGTGTGACAATGACTTGAAATTTACTTATATATTATTAAAAAAAAAACTTATATTTTAATGTTTACTTACAGATTGGTGATGAAGAGGGTGATGTGGTTCGGAGGTACGAAATCGTATCGAGGGGCCACGACGTGGGCCACGGCACTTTCTTTGCTCCTGCGGACGCAACAACATTAACGATGGAGGATGGATCTGTGTAGGTTTTTATTTCATAGAATAAGGGTACATCTGATGGTAAGTGGATGCTATGGCCCGTAAACATCTAGCCTCGATTTAAAATCAATACGCAGATGCGTTGTATCCCTGAGGACTAAGATAAAATGCCTCGTTTCTAGTAAAAAGAATCTCCGGTTCTCTACACTCACCATACGAGGGTGCGTTTTTAAGTTCGCGGAATGGGTAGGTAAGTAATAAGTAGGGACGTCGCTGAATTACGTGCTAATTGAGCAACTCATTATTAGTATAAATACCGGGTTTTATTGTAATTAGATCATTAGTCTTTGAGCTATCGTCAACCAAACAACTCAAAGAGAAAACCGAGCTCCGTGCCGTTATAAAGTTCCTTACCAAGCGCGGAAAATCAGTGCAGACTATACTGGAAGAGATGACATCCGTTTACGGAGACTCTTGTCCAAGTAAAACTATGGTTTACAAGTGGTATACCCTTTTTAAACAAGACAGAGAATCACTTAAAGACGACCCACGACCAGGAAAGCCGATCGAGGTGACCACTTCGGAAATTATTCAAAAGTCGAAAAATTAATATTAGAAGATGCCCGCTTAAAGAAAAAACAGCTCGCAGAATTGGTTGGAGTATCAAATACAACCATTTTCAAAATTCTTCATGACCATCTTGGCATGATTAAAGTCAGCGCAAGATGGGTGCCTAGAATGCTCACGCCGCCTCAAAAGCAACAGCGCGTGGAGTGTCCTCGAGCATTTTTGGATCTCTGTATGGAAGATAAAGATGGAGTGTTGGCTCGAATTGTTACTGGTGAAACTTGGGTTCACCATTATGAACCTGAGTCCAAACAGGGCTGTAAGCAGTGGCACAAAAAAGGCACACCACCACCCAAGAAGTTTAAGGTGGCACAATCGGCTCGGAAAATCATGGCGACAGTCTTTTGGGACTCAGAAGGAATCCTTTTGATTAATTATAAAGATAAAGGTGTCTCCATAACCGGAAATTACTACGCTTCAATCCTAGAACAATTGAAGGAAGCCATAAAGGAGAAAAGGAGGGGAAAATTGACCAAAGGAAAACAAGTGCCATGTTGCGATGGCTGCCCTACAGAAGGTGGGCGTCGAAATTTTGCCACACCCACCCTATAGTCTCGACCTGGCTCCCAGTGATTATTATCTATTTCCAAACTTAAAAAAAGAACTTCGTGGGAAAAAGTTTTTAAGCGATGAAGAAGTGAAGGAAGCAGTTTCGGCGTATTTTTTAGTCAAAGACAAATCCTTTTTTTTTAGGGTATACATAAGTTAATTGAAAGTTTCCACTCCTTACCCCCCATTCCGCGAACTTAAAAACGCACCCTCGTACGAAACACAGCAGTGTTAAGCTGCTATGTTTACGCCGGTATTCTGTGAGAGCGTGGCCCTACACCGGTCGAGCCGTCCCATTCGCGCTGCAACCATAATATAGCTGCAGCGTGACTCTACCAAGTAAATAATATCCAAACCCCATTTTGTCTTGGGGCTGTCGTGAGAGATGAGAGAACGAATTCTTCTAAGGACTAAAAGATGGAATGCCTTACAGCCTACAATTATATTAACTTGCCATGTTTCAGAATGGAATACAGCAGTGCAAGTACTGCTATTTGGCGAAAGTACCCATCCAAGACTCCTTGTCAATAAAGGAGTTGTACTACTTATATGTTTAACCTCCTAGGACCTGGCGTCTTCTATACGAGACCTTTTTTCTAGTACTGCCCTCCAGCGCCTATCAAAGTGTAACTTCCTAATTATTAGTACATTTATTTCAATGTAGATGTCACTTATTGAAAAAAAAATAACCATGTTTGGCGCTCATTTTTGTAAACTTTTGACAGCTTGAAGTTAGTGGTTGAAAATTTCTGCAAAAAATGGCTGCCCAAGGTAAGTTTTTAATTGATTTTGTTGAAATTAACGCATTTTAGTTTAAAAACGAATGTATTTGTTCATTTTTAAAGTATGTAAGATAAAAATAAGATATTGCTTTCAAATTTCCGCAAATATTTTACCGAGTATCGCGTCAAGTACATGATTGTCCCGTAGAGGGGACATGGGGTTTCAGACTTAATATTTTTATAGGTATTTTAATTGTTTTCATCCGATCGTTTTATTCATTTACTTGTTTTGTATTGCAGTCCATATGACGGATAGCGACATAGCAAGAATTTTAGAGTTTGATGGCAATGATTCTACCGTTGAAGGCCTTTCTGACGATGACTTCGAAGGCAGTCAAGATCTTGAACCACGCCTGGAAGAGCTGGAGGATGAAGGTTCAAACGACGACTCGAGCGATGATGACGTACCATTGGCTGCTGTTGCTGCTCGTCAGACTTCAAGTCGTCGACTATATTTCAAGCATGAAAATGATTTCACTCCATATCCACCAGGCATGTACTGTCAACCTTTAGCTGCAAGTCGCGTTAATTTGTTACAAGAACCAATTGAATATTTTTTGAGATATATTCCTGAAGTAATGTTTGAAATAATAAGTAATTATTCAAACCAGACATACTTATTGAAGAAAGGTCAAAATCTGAACACAACTAAGGAAGAAATTAAATTGTTTTTTGGCATATCTATAGCTATGAGTTATTTGGGCTTGCCAAGGATTAGAATGTATTGGGCAAACAGGACAAGGGTTGCAATGATAGCAGACCGCATGACTAGAGACCGTTATTTTAAAATTCGGACAAATTTGAAACTTGTAAATGATCTTGAGGTGGATGAAGCATCCAAGCAAAATAAATTCTGGAAAGTTAACCCTTTGATCAAAACTGTGAGAAAAGCTTGCCTAGAAACTCCCAGATCTCAACATATTAGTGTAGATGAGCAGATGATACCCTTTTGGGGTCAAGTATCAATGCGGCAGTTCATAAGAGGAAAACCAAACCCCTGTGGTTTAAAAAACTTCGTGTGCACTACTCCAGATGGTGTGCCTTTAGACTTCTTCATGTATGAGGGCAAAGGAGATACAATACTCACAACCAATGAAGCTGAAGGTCTTGATATAAGCGGAAAAGTTGTGCTGAAGTTATCTGAAACTTTGCCTGAAGGAGTTAAGTTATACATGGACAGATACTTTACATCATTGGATTTACTGGACAAATTACGTTCAAAGAAGATGCAGGCAACAGGTACTCTTAGAAAGGCAAACATATCTAAAAACTACAATTTCAAAACTGACAATGAGTTGAGAAAACAAGGACGTGGTTCTTCGGATCAACTCGTTCGCAGTGACGGTAATGTGGCATGTCTAAAGTGGTTTGATAACAAACCAGTAATAATGGCATCATCTGTTGATTCCAAAGAACCCATCAACAAATGCAGACGTTGGTGTAAAAAAACTAAACAGTATATCCAAATTGACAGACCATTTGCAATAGAGCAATATAATACCATGATGGGCGGTGTAGATATGTTGGACAGGGTCATCAGTTTTTACAGAATTAGAGCACGTTCCAAAAAATGGACTGTTCGTCTGATTTTCCACTTCTTTGACTTTGCGGCAGCTGCTGGATGGCTTGTATACAGGAATGAAGCTAAATTGTTAGAATGCCCTAAAAAAAACATTTTGGACTACTTGGAGTTCAAAGTGCAAATTGCAAATTCATTACTTTATTTTACACCAGCGAGGGAACAGATACACATAATTCATTAAGTAGATTCAGACGACTCAAGAGAAGAAGCACAACATTGGAGCCGTAAAAGAAAATGTATACCTCAACCTCCAGTTCAACTGAGGACAGCCATGGCTGGTCATTTGCCATTGATTGATGAACAAAATGACAATCACAGATGCCGAATGCCAGGATGTAAAAGCAAGAAAGCTAGAGTGTTTTGCTCTACTTGTAACATGCATTTATGCCTAGTAGTAGGACGAAATTGCTACAAACGCTATCATGAATCTGTCTAAGTAACTGTAACGTTTTTGTTTAAATAAACGTTTTAATTCATATTTTTTCGTTTTGATTACAGTATTAGAAAATTGCCATGTTAAAACTCAGAGTCTTGTATAGGAGACGTACAATTAAAAAAAAACTAATAACTTATAATTTTTTTAAATATTTTTTTTTTATCATTTAGGGGTCTATAAGTCTGCGTTTAAAATTTTATTTCATTACCAAACACAAAGTGGTCTCGGGTCTGAGGAGCTTAAAAATAAAGTTAATTAATGTGCAAAAAATTAAAAAGCAAACCGAAAAACTTTTGTTTAAAATGCATCTTCTAGGATGACAAACGAGCACACAGGCCACCTGATGGTAAGTGGTTGCTGTGACCCCTAGACATCTACATCTATTCTCAATAATTAATCAAAATGCAGATGCGTTGTCACCCGTGAGTACTAAGATGGAATGGCTCGTTTCCAGTAAAAAGAGTTTCCGGTTCTCTACACTCACCATACGACACACAGCAGTGTTAAGCTGCTATTTTACGCTGGTATTCTGTGAGAGCGTCGTCCTTCTCCGATCGAGCCGACCCATTTGTGCTACAACTATATTATCTTATATAACTCCAGCATGGCTATACCACGTATAGTTTTTATAATTTACGCTTACACTGTAAGTTATCTAACTTCACCTCTTCACTACCGACATATGTTGAACGGAACATTATTTGGCCTCATTTAAGTCGTCCATCTAGCAACTCGTCTCTCTTATTGACTCCTTCCTATACTACACGTGAATGAACTGACCATACAGTGGCGGTTTAAGAATATCCACTAGTTCTTATCGTCCCGTCGGTGTCGTATGAGGCGACAGAGCGAAACAAACCAGGAGATAAGCAGCGTTTCCTAATAACGACTAAAACTTAATAACCGGCTAAATCGGACCCGCGCATGAAGGGTTCCGCACCATCGTAAAACTCGTTTCTAGTAGCTCACTTTAATTTTTAATTTTATAAATTTAACACATCTGTGATAATTTCAACTGTGGACCTATTACGGGTCATGAGATACAGTCCGCTGACAGACGGACGAACGGACGGACGACGGAACCCTAAAAACTGAATTTATCTGTGAAATATTTCACCTCGTTACAAAGTATCGCCGCCCTAGTGGTAGTAAATGTCGTGTATGCCCGCATTGCCTCCCACTATGTAAGCAAATTTAAAGACGTATTCACGTCAAGAGTGCACTCACCGGTAAGGCATGGCGGTGTGCGGTGCGGCGAGTGCGTTGAAGTGATGCTGCTCGCACGCGTGCAGCGGAGACAGCTTGTACAACGGCGCCAGCGCTATCACCTGACAACATCCAAATTTTTGCGTGATAGAGCCACGCTGTAGCTATAATATTGTACCACGAATGGCCAACCCATTCGTGCTACAACCATATATGTAGTAATATTACATTGTTTTATAGTAAAGTTGGTAAAAATTACCTCGCGTATATCCGCTCGATAAAATAAAATGATGTGTCTTACTTACATTGAAGAGCACCTCCCGCCCTCCCTCAATTGCGTGCACTACCCCCGTCACCACTAATTCCAGCACCACTACTCTCAACGCCACTACATTAGGAAAGACACACCACTGACGACAATACGATGCGTGTTTCGCCTCTACACGAGGCATCCTCAGGTGATGTAGACTCTGCGGTGGCTAACCGCTAAGTAATACTTAAGAGTACTATAAAATTTACAGCGAGCGAGTTATAACGTCTCTCACTGTAAAAAGTCTGGAATATATTCAGAGTGGAACTCATCGCGCCACCTACCGGCCAGGGCGGAATATCTGCGGAGGAGCTAGTACGTCTTTAGAAAATGTCTTAAAATGGATATAATTTGAATATGCGACTCACGGGCACGCTGTAGTGGTGCGCGGCGACGGTGACGGCGTGCAGGCCGGCGCGCGACAGCACCGCGCCGCCCGCCAGCGCCGCCACCACGCCTACCACCACCTGCAAACGACCACCGTTTACTACCACATTATTGTGTCAAAATATTACTCTTAGATTTATCATATTTATTTAACTAACAGAACACAAAAAGCTTTGCACTTGGTAGAGTCACGATGCAGCTATATTATGGTTGTAGCACGAATGGCTCTGCTCGACCGAGGAAGGACCACACTCTCACAGAATACCAGCGTAAAATAGCAGCTTAATGCTGCTGTGTTTCATATGGTGAGTGTAGAGAACCGGAGACCCATTTTACTGGAAAAGAGGCATTCTATCTTAGTCCTCATAGCTGACGACGCATCTGCATTTTAATTCGCAAACGAAGATAGATGCAAATGTCTATGGGCCACAGCAACCGCTTACAATCAGGTGGACTATGCTCGTTTGTCAACCTAATTCTATAAAAAAGAAGTTAAGTTTTAATAAATGCATTGACGACGTCCCTAACAGGCTAAATTTTAGAACTAATATTGTGTACCGGTTTGCTGTATTTGGCAAAACATTTGATGTGCTTGCCAATATCAAAATATGATATCTACACTTCGAAAAGAAAATTATTATTGTGTAGCAGGTAATAAATCATAATTATCATCATCATTAGCGAGAAGAATGAATGTTAATGACCGTTTGTGTGAAAAAAAAAATGAAAAAAATAATTACGCAGACACGCACACACACGCACACACACGCGCGCACGCGCTAACACACACTCGGAGAGAGAGAGAGAGAGAGAGAAAGATTAGATTTTATTTTGAAAAAGACAAACCTTATTGACCCTAGACATGAGTACTCCGACTGCGGCACTGCTGACCACGGTCACGTTGATCCCAGCAGTACTAAGGCGGGCCGCCATTGCATGGCTCTGTCGAAAGAACATTGCAAATTCATTCTTAACTCTTATTCGATTAGTCTGTTAATTTTTTAAGTTCAATTTTCCTATAAATAATTCAATGTCTTTGGAGGGACCAAAGTGCATGTCTTACATCATTTTTTTACTCAGAGCTAAATAATTTTACCATCTTTCATTTATTAACTTCCTTCTGCGTAGCATTGAAAGGAAGTTAATGGTTTTAGCTGGCAGTCTGTTAGTCTGTATGCCGACACGATAACTTCCGTTCCACTGGACCGATTGACTTTAAATTTGATATGTGGATACCTTGAGGTAGTAGCTCGGTCGAGTTTGAATTTGAATTTGGTCCTGTAGGTCAAAGGGCACCAGAGATATGGGATTCACGCAGAAGGAAGTTGTTTTTCTTGAATTTACATTCAACTCGTTAAAGTTCAATTTTCTTATTAATAATTTAATACTCACTGTTTGGTTTTCAGACACAATTGTAAGGCTATAGCAATGACCTATATGTAGGTAGTGCACGGAACACCGAAAGGGTTAATTATGGCTCTGTGAAACAGTGTGTTTGAATCCTACATTGAAAAGTATTTGTATGACCTAAAAATAATTGTTGATGCGAGTCTGAATGTTTATCCATATGAAATTTATGTATGTAAACTGCCTCCACGATACAGGAGAAAATCCTAGTAGGGGGGGGGGGGGTCAAAGTACAACGTACACATTTACTCTACCTCTTTAACATCACAACTCTCGGCGAGAATCAACCGGTACCGCCTGCTGGCAGCGGCTCTGAGGAACTTCTCCGCGAGGCTGCTGGCTCCATACGTCAGGATCAGCTCGTCTGCGTGCACGTGCTCGCAGGCCTGCGAGCATATCGCCGAAGTACTGGAGTCCAGCTCCGCGCTCAGCTGGAACCAAGTCAAATTTACATTGTTCAGTAAGCTAATTTACTGCAGATTTAATTTAGAGCAGTATTTACTGCAAAAAATTTTTTTCCAGTACTATCAAGTATCACTTTAATTTTTTGTTTTCTATTAAACATCTATAAATATTTTCCATCTATCCACTACAGCCAAGAAAAGTCCACTGCTGAACATCATGTGTCTCATAGGGAGGATTTTTGTTATTTTTTAACTGTTTTTAACAGTTAAAAGTTATATAAAACATCATTAAATCAGCGCACAAAGAGCTTAACTGTATTCTATCTCATTCTCTCGCAGGTTAAATCCTATAGATGTACGAGTATATGTTTGCCGCTTTTTCCTTTCATCGAGTCTCATATCACAACAATTCTAAAGAAGTTTTAACGGCAACAAAAGAAAACAAATTCATTAAAGAGGACACTGGGCTGCAAGAAATGGATTTCTGATACACGAGGTTAATTAATTACTTAATATTATAATAGCTATTTATACAAACTTTTTTAATAAAGTTTTTGAACTTTGAGCAGGACAAATTTTGTATATTTTCTGGGATTTTGTTGTAAAAGAGTACATATACATCGCCCTAAGAATGAATTACATACTCAGTGGAGTCAAGTAACTGGCACTATTAGCTTGTGCCTGTTTCTAGTATTTACAGAATGATTTTTTTTAACTATTTTTATTGTTTAGACATACTACGTACGTTACATTTTCATAAAAGTATTGAGAGGCCAAAGTTAATACATTAATTTTCCTTAAATAATTTCAGTGTCAGTCGTGTTTCCCCATAGTTAAGTTAAGATACAGTAAGTCTCACCGAAGTCCAAGATCGTAGGTATTTCTGAAGGAAGAATGTGGCGATGGCATCAGTGATATCACAGTTTAAAGAACTTAACACGAAAATATTTGACAGTGCAATACCTGTAAATGTATTTTTCTTATAATAATAAATATGATCTTGTTCAATAAACGTTTTTAACCTATAAGTATGTATGTACATAATGTTAATAAATGATAATGAGTATAATAATATGCAAAATTACGCGACTACCCCATCGATCACTTATAAAAAACTGGATACACATACATAAACATAAACACTCACGCCTGTCACCCAGAGGGGTAGGCAGAGATTATGGACTTCCATTTGGCACGATCCCGACACACCTCTCTCGCTTCCTCCACATCCATATACGCATACACGCTCGTCGGTTAAAGGTACTCTTGATTTGGCCCATTTTTAATATATCGCCAATTGGGTCGATAAACTTTCGCCTAGGGCGACCCTTCCCGACTATGCCGTTCACCTCTGCAACATAAAAGACAATGCCCATCTGTGCCCCAGAAATGCCCAGATAAAGTATATTACAAGATTGCTCTAATAAATTAAAACTAGAATTATGTTGTTAATTTTAAACCATATGAAGCACTGGATTAAAAATAAGAAAAAATAAGACGTTTTGTTGACTTTGCAGTAGGTACGTATTATCGTTTCAATCATTAATTCATGCTTTATTTATTACGGTCTGGAATCACGTCCTTTGGCCCATGTAAAACTCAACATGATTGATATTAGTCATAAAAGTGATTACTAAATAATCGAATAATAGTATATTGCTTTACAACTAAACCAAATAAAAATATGATTCTATAATAAATGTCATCAGATGAAAAAAACATGGCCCAGTTAAGCATTTATTTTTGTTATCAAAAGTCGGAGACAGACTAGTTTTTACCAACGCCATTTATGGGACTATTTGTTTGTTTACCTATCCCTCATTGACAGTCTCTTAAATTATAAAATCTTAGGCTTTGTTTAGTTCGGGGCTTAATAATTGGCATGATGAATAAAATCTTCGAAAAAGGAATCGTTTTTTTGTTGATCAATTGAACTAAGTAATAGATTCCAATATCGATTATTATTTTACAATTGAATCATTAACGAGTTGAATAAAGATCTAAATGATGTCTCCAGACACGCAAAAGTAAAAAAGTACTTTGTGGTAATGTATAAGTATATCTAGGCTTCAAATAAACAAATATAATGAAAGCAAACACCTAATGATGTAATGGCTCAAAAGACTTAGCTCCAAGTAAAAACATTCCATAAAACTAAAATGACTGTCACTCATTCTTTCACTGTATAAAAAACCAGTAGGAAGTTATCATGTTTAATGTCCAATATCTTTCGAACCGGTGCTTTATATGACATTAAATGTAGATATCATATAAATACTGTTAAAAAGTTATCATATGACATAGAGCTGCAATTTGGGCATTGCATGGCATTACTGACTTTCAGCTCCATACTAATATGGGCATGGTCCTTTTTGCTTTGTCACTCTTTCCTCATTCATTCTTTCTACATGGCCAAACCACCGAAGCATTCCTTTCTTAATCCTGGTCACAACATCATCTTGCAAACCACACTCTTCTCTTATTAAACAATTTCTCACTCTGTCATTCAGATTCATCCCTAACATACTCCTTAATGACCGCATTTCTACAGCACTTATTCTACTCTCGTGCTTCTTCTGCCACACCCAACTTTCACTACCATACATTAAAGTAGGTACTAACACAGCATTGTGAATTGCCATACGTGCCTTTTTGGACACATTCTGACTTTTCACAATAGAGTGTAGAGCCCCATTCACTCTATTTCCTGCATTCACTCGTCGTTCTATACCCTTATCATATCTAACATCCCTGCTAAACACACATCCCAAATATACAAACTCATCTACTTGCTCTACCAACTCCCCTTCTATTCTTATTTCACATATCGTTTTACTTTCTTCTCTTTCAAAAACCATAACTTTCGTCTTACTTGCGTTCACTTTCATTCCCTTTTCTTTTAATATCCTGTTCATTAATGTAACCATCATTTGCAACTCGGCTACCGCCGATGCAAGTATGACTTGATCATCGGCGTACAAAAGGCATTTGACGGTTAACTCACTCATTCTTAACCCGCATTCTTCTACTTTCAAATTTTTCAAACAACTGTCCATAAATAGGTTGAACAACCACGGGGAAGCCACACAGCCCTGTCTGACACCTTTATGGATGCCAAACCAGTCCGAGTAGGCCCCGTTGATCCTGACACAAGCACTAGAGTCCCTATATAGAGATTTCAATGCCTGTTGTCGTGAAGCGACAATAATATATCAAAAAGAATCTAACCTAAGAACAACAAAACAACAAAAATACAACAAAAACAGAAATATATTCAAAATTCAAAGATATTTACAATTTTATAAAAAAAATGAAATGAGGATGATGATGAATGAAGTGAGAGTACAATTAGATTACAAAAAAAAATATAAAGGTAGGAGAATAAAGAGATGTAGAGGGGCCTAAAAGTCGAAGCGACACACGTTGCGATTGTAGAGGTAGGTTTCTTAGCAGCGACGACACGCAGCGCCTGAAGCCAGCACACGCCGGTTGCGCTTGTAGAGGTAAGTTTCTTAGTAGCGACGGCACGCAACGCCTGGAGCCAGCACACGCAGCGTCCGGAGCCGGCGCACGTAGCGCCTGGAGTAGGTGCGCTCAACGCTTAGAGCCAGCAGTTGCAGCGCCCAAAGGTAGCGCCGGTGGTAGGTGCACTCGGCGCCTGGAGTAAGTAGTCGTAGCGCCCGGAGTAGTGTGGCCCCCGCGCTTGTAGTAGTCTCGAAGCGACTTCCGAGGTAGATGGAGGCTTGTAGGAATCCGAAGTGGTACGGCTCCGCGTTTGAAGAAGGCTTCGCCGAAGACTTCACGTGTAGGTGGAGGCTTGCAGGATCCCGGGGCAGTGCGGCCACGGGATAAGGCCTTTAGGAGATACTTCCAATTCGCGAACTGAAGCGAGACTGCCTTTCTTCACCGATTGTTCGGCTTTTATACCTTTCTAGAGAGAACGGAAAAATTATTTAAATTAAACGCAAATTTTTTGTAAATGGTCAAGAGAAAAAAGTATTTATGTGGAATTATCGAAATAGGAACAACAGATCGATAGCAAATTTGAATATAATTACTATAGCAACGAAATAAATAACAATATCAAAACATGTCAAATTTTGGTTTTAGGTTTATAATAAGAAAACGGTAAGATTTAAGTGGAAAATGAGATATTATTGATATAGGAAAAAAGGTAGGGCAGCTGCCCACACAAAGCCCAAGATTGTAGAGTTACGGAAAACTAGCTAAAAGGTCGAAAAAAGGTAGACTCCATTGACACCAATTTAAGAGTGCTGATAATGTGAAAATACGAAGTAGAAATGATTTGTTATTGTGTTCTTATGGTTTAAAATCGTTACAGGATCCTATGGAAATAAAGCTGATGTAAAATATCCAGTTTTGAGGTGAATGCAGAAAATCGAAACAGAATGGAAAAATGAATTTAAAATAATGTAAAATGATATGTAAGTAGCATAACACTACACTGTATCAGACCAGCGGTCAACCCAAATGAGTTCAATGTTTGCCATAACACATCCCTGTCCACTCTGTCATAAGCCTTCTCCAAGTCTATGAACGCACAAAAAACTTTTTGGTTTTTGGCCAAAAACTTCTCCGCGATCATGCGCATGGAAAAGACCTGATCCGTACATCCCATTCCCTTTCTAAATCCCGCTTGCACATCCCAAATTTTTCCATCAATTTCTTTCATAACTCTTTCAATTAGTACCTTAGCATACAGTTTTCCCACAATCAGTGGATACACAATCAGTGACAAAAAATGGCCTTACCGAATGAGCGTCCACTAGAACTGGGTGCGCTTTTAATTTGTACGTAGCTTTGTGAATACAACTTTAGACAATGTATTTAAGGTTGAATTTACATTGATATATATTCATTTCGACCAGAATTACGTTAAAACAATTGGCGACAGTTTTATAGAACTATTGCATGGAATTGTGTATCATCTGTATGTTTATTTTTGTATGTACGTTACGCGATGTCTTTGTCAATCGTGAACTGATTTTGATGATTTTTAAAAGGTTATTCCCATAGAAATTTGGAAAAAAAAAATCCACCCCTAACGGTAGAATATTTGCTTGTAATATTCCCTACTCCACTCAAAAGCGTAAAAAATTAACTTACAACTATAGAAAAATTAAACCTCCGAATTCAGAATGGTAGGCGATTTTGCTCTTTTAAATTCTTTGATTTTTTTTTTATTATTAGGCTCTTAATCTTTAAAGTTTTTTTATCACGAAGGTGGGTTGGTCTTAAATGTAGTGTAGGTGCACACGGATATAGTTTTAGTGTGCATATGCTCCAAGAGTCTAGAGAGAAAAGATTTTCACAGTGATTTAGAAAATAATGTATTCTTTACTCAGAAGAGTTAGGCTCGCCCATCTTACTGATATCTATACAAATAAATAAAATTGAAGTGTCTGTTTGCAATGTCGAAATAACAGCTTTTTACTATATGCATATGAAAGTATATACGGTACTTATAACAAATACACTATTTTTAAAATTTTTGTCTGTCTGTCTAATTAAGGCAGATGCTGGCAATTTATTTCACTCCTTTGCTGTACGCACGATGAGCGATGAAGCAAACCGTTTGCTTCGAATCATGGTAAGTCGACATCGAAAGGGTAGAGACTGGCCGAGCGTCTGGTTTTCCGATGATGGCAGGGAGAGGGAGGAATTAAGAAATGCAATTCCTGCACTGTAGAAAGAAAGGCCACTTTACGCATGTGCTCGAGACTGGTGAGATTAGTTTTAACAAGTTTCAATCATCTATACCAGTGGCTTAACAGTCCATACTATAATTTTTCTTAGAGGTATTAATATGTCATGACAGTTTGTCCATGTTGCAGTAGATGTCGCTATTTTTAAATTTAGCCATGCTGGGCCAATTAAGAATCATACGAATTAATGAATAGTTAAAAATATAAAGGAACCTTACTAACTTACTATTTTGTTACAAAACAAATTTGTAATTAAATTTTCAGTGTAATTTGTTTATTTTACATTTATTCAAGTGATGATTTCATCGTTGCAAATTGTTTTCTCCGTTTATCTATGGCAAGTTCCGAAGGGATAGATCTATGGTCATTTCAGTCTGTCAATGTTACAAATGTCATTTAAATTTAATTTTATTATAATATTACAATATTAAAAACTATAATAAAAAAAACTAAAACTAGTAGTTTGTGTGCGTGTGTGTAAAACTAGTAACTTAATTTAACGTAATTTAATTTGTCTGTTTGTCATTCCATTTCCTTTCGTGGTTTGTGAATGTGCCCTGTTTGTGTGGATTTTTTTGGACAACTTTGCTTGATCCCCATACTCCGAAAACTTCGCCTTTTTCGTTGGACTTACGCATGAAACTCTGGACCCTGATTTGCTTAAATATTTGTGCTCTGTTAACCTGGATTATGGCTTCTTTTGAGAGAGATTATTGTGTACTATTATAATAAAAGGAAGCATTATTAAAAAACATCCAACAGCTAAACAGTTGTTTTATTTGCCTAAATTATATTGTATACAAAGTAATTTCCAAAAGCCAAATCAATGTTAAAATGGTTTGACTTTTGGAAATTACTTTGAAAATAAATAATAAATATTGTAATAAAAGAGCATCCAACTTCGCTGGGCTGTAGGGACGTCGTATATCGATAGATGGCGCTAATGCTACGATTCTAAGTGATGACTCTACCCCCTATATATACCTCAGAGATAAAGTCCCGGATGGGTTCTCTCAGATCCTTGGCTGCACCAATGGTAGCCCGACGATGAGGAGCTGCGAGTACCAGCCGTTGAAGGGACTCCCCGGCACCTTCACTGCTCTGAAATGGTCAATTATACATGATTTTATATTTTCAATACTTTACAGTGGTGGACCACAAAGCATCCAGATGGTGTGGTAGGTATCGTGAATTCTGTCGCGATGTGCGATTGAATTTGGCGTTTGGAATTAATTGGGGCAATTCCTCTTAGCACAGCCCGTGGTAAATGCGATAGAAAATGCAAGGGGATGCTCACTTCGCAACACCAATGAATCGAGCCAATCAGAAAGAACTCAGTCGTCAATGATTCAGGCCGCTCTTCGTTAGATGCGATCAGTACAATAAGTGCGCATTGTAGCAAGGAGTGGCTATGGCAACTACATCTATCCTCAATTAAAAATTACAATGCAGATGCGTTGTCCTCCCTGTGGACTGAGTTTCCAGTAAAAAGGCTCTCCAGTTCTCTACACTTACCATACGAAACACAGCAGCGTTAAGGTGCTATTTTGTGTTGGTATTCTATGAGAGTGTGGTCCTTCCCCAATTGAGACAGCCCATTTCCGATACAACCATAATGTAGCCAGAGCATGGCTCTGCCACGTATTTTTTTCTTGTAATGTAGATTAAAATAAAAAATATTCTGTTCTGTCTATTCTAAATATGCCCTGACAGATCGTGTAACAACCATGCCTAGGGTAATAATAGAAAATTGACCTAAACCGACCTGGTTAGCATGTGCCCTTTGCTCGTCTCGGATCGCACGCAGAACTCGACGCACTATGTTGGCGGCCACCAGCTCCTGGGGTAAAGCGCAAACGATTTGACGCCCCACCGCTCTCACAGTGCTGCACAGTTCACTGGTGGAAATAAATCTCTGTTCGTCAAAGTTTCTCTAGTCCCACATAGCAATTTATGAATGAAATAGCAACTTTTATGTTGCTGAGTTTCATATGGATGGTGTAGGTAACCGGAGACCCTTTTTAGTGGAACCGAGGCATTCCATTTTAGTCCTCAAGGGTGACAACGCATCTGCATTTTCATTCTTAATCGAGGATAGATGTAGATGTCTATGGGCCACAACATTCACTTACCATCAGGTGGAATGCGTGCTCGTTTGTCACTCTTATTATATAAAAAAAAAACACTCCTCCTCGTCTCAATTTTTCAACCGACTTCAAAAAAGAAGGAGGCTCTATATTCGACGATTTTAAATGGCGTCAGAACCAATTTAAATGATTTTTTTAATAGGCATTACCATAAGGGTCAATTTTAAGTATTTTATAGGTTATAAAGTTTATATTGTAACTGTAACTGTAAACTGTTAAGACATTCTAGTTGTCACCTTGAGAAAAAAAATTGTCGGCGTCACCAACTTCAAAAGCTATTAAGTGAAATTTGTTTTGTCTGTATGTTCTGGCTAACCTCCGAAACAGCTGGACCGATTTTGACGGGACTTTCACTGACAGATAACTGACGTTATAATGAGTAACTTAGGCTACTTTTATTTTAGAAAAAGTATTAGGGTTCCGAGCAATAACAATTAAAAGCCATGAAATCCAATCGCAATAAATTTCACGTAGCCGAAGTCTCGGGAAACAGCTAGTATTAAAATAAAACTGAAGTGACACGAACTTACAGTCCAACTTCAAAGGATATAATTTAAAATTAGAAAATTTGTACAACCAACTTCAATATAAATTATTACGAATAACTCAAAAAACTATTGTTCAGACCTTGATCAAATTTATACGGGACCACACGTGAGGGACCAACTTTCAAATAGAGAATCATCGAAATCAGTTCACCCAGTAAAAAGTTATGAGGTTACCACACATAAAAAAACATACAGTTGAATTGAGTACTGTCTCCTTTCTGAAGTCGGTAGATAAATACAATAAGTACCATAAAATTAGTTAGTTATATGCACATAAATAAAAGCAGTTATTATTATTAATTAATTTAATGAATACTTACTATGCAGTAGGATTTTGAGAATCACTAATGATCTGCTCCAGTAGTGATACAGTTGCTGTAGCAATTTTAATGGACCCATCTAACTTTCTGTAAGAAAAATAAATAAATATTCAACTAAATATAAATAGCAGATTTTAACCCGCTCGCTGTCTCGTGTACTACATATAGGTCATTGCTATTGTCTTACTATTGTGTCTGAAAACCGTGCAGTGAAAGTGTTATGATGTTTGGTTATTGGCTGTCAGAATTTCTAGCAGTGGAAAGTTATTAATTAACACTATCCTTCAACAAGGAGTGCTAATAATTTTCTGCTCACCAGATGTCGCTAGTTGATACTGAGGTAAATTTTTATGTTACACATTGTCATTTAATTGAGAAGTTACTTTTAAAAAAAAGTATATCAGTTTCTAGAGTATTATATCAATACACAAAACAATGCCTCGTGCCTGGTTCGCTCTTTAATTTTTTGGGCATTTTAAACATTTTTAATTTTTCTTCAATTAGGAATATCTGTGGTTTGGTTTATTTATTTTTAATCTTATTAATATAAAATATAGCTAATACTACAAAAAGAGACAATAACTTTTACATTTTTTGAACAAATTAACTTCCTGAAATCTGTCAAATATTATATCTCACTTTCTAGTGGCGCCGCCCTGGTGGCAGAAGTCGTGGATGCATTGTTTATATAACATGAAAATGTCTAGACTGAATCACGGCCATGGCAGTCAGTCGCAACAGTAACTAATCATCTGCACAGGATAGGATTCCACTGCTTGACTTCATGAATAAGAGTAGCTGCACTCTCTATTCCCTCACCTTTACTTGGTTTCCTAGGCACAGTAAAGAAACACCACCTACTCCCTAACTTCAGATTGTTACTGAGAATTTCTTAGCAGAAAAAACAAATAATTGATTTTATGGCCCAACCTGGATTCAAACCTGGGACCAATGATTAACAGTCACAGTTATAAGCACTAGATTAACTAGGCAGTCCTATATAACATAAACCCAGATAACATTGGAATGACCTTTTCTTTTTTTTTGTTCTTTATTGGCTATCTAAATTCTGAACCCTAGGATATAGGTCTTTACATTCATGCATGAAATTATATCACTATTAGACACACTCTTGGTGATTGGGCACCAAAAACTATCATGTCAATTGACTTTAGAAAAACAGCATCAAAGCTCATCAAACGTACTGAAGCCTATGTAAGATTGCAATATGAGTTCATTATTTTAGTACTCAACAAGAGCTCCTTTTAGAGTTTTAAGATTCTTGCGCACATAACAATATTGTCATTTTAAATTCTTACAAACACTTCTGGGCTAATGAACAATCAAAATGCCTTACTGTTTGGATATTGAAAGAAATTTAATGACAAAATGAGTCATAATAAGTAACTGCAGGGTTATATAAATTGATAAGTACCAAATATTTTTATTATCTATACAAATAAATAAAATTCAAGTGTCTGTTTGTAATGTCCAAATTACAGCTTTTTACTAAATGCATATGAAAGTATATACGGTACTGATAACAAAAATACAATTTTCAAAATTTTTGTCTCTACCTATGTGTCTGTCTGTTTGTTCTGGCTAATCTCCGAAACGGCTAGACCGATTTGACGGGATTTTCACGTGCAGATAGCTGATGTCACAAGTAGTAACTTAGGCTACTTTTATTTTAGAAAAAAAATTAAAACCCCAAATAACATGCAGGTGAAGTCGCGGGAAACAGCTAGTAACAAATATTAAAAGTAACTGCAGTGTTCAAAACAAACTAGTTGTAAACATGTTGCCATATTGTCAAACCCTCTCGCATTTTGCAATAATTTATTACAATATCAATTACAGTCAGGATAGTTTTCATCCCCTGGCTGGAATTAATATCTTGTCTACTTAGAAGAAATGTACTTGTGAAATGGGAGTGGGTGCGATTCTAACTACCTTCACCATTAAATTCTCATTTAGTATGTATTTATAATTGTTAGTTCGAAATTTTTAAACTACGGAGTCAACTTTGATGAAAAGTCAATCAGGTATTCATTTTTTTTATAGGATAAGGGTGACAAACGTACACACAGTCCACATGATGGTAAGTGGTTGCTGTAACCCATAGACATCTACATCTATCCTCAATAAAAAATCTAAGTACAGATGCATTGTCACCCAAGGACTAAGCTGGAATGCCTCTTTTCCAGTTAAAAGGGTCTCAGGTTCTCTACACTCACCATACAAAACACAGTAGTATTAATCTGCTATTTTACGCTGGTATTCTGTGAAGGCGTGGTCCTTCCCCAGTCTAGCCGACCAATTCGTGCTACAACTATACTTTTAATATAGGTATATTAAAAGTATAGTTGTAGCACGTCAGGTCATAAATTCTGTCACATGTTTAATATAAAATAATTGAAACAAGTTTATCCATTATGTAACCATTTATATACCAAAATGAACTTAACAAAACATAGATTCTTATGACACTAAAGTTTATTCAAAATGACCTCCGTGATTTTGAATACAAGCCTTCAATCTGCGCGGCCAGTCGTCTATCGCAGCACGAACGAGGTCCATGTCAATATCGGCGGCTGCCTTAATCAAGGATTTCTTGAGTGACTCCAAATTGGGATGAGGCTTTGAGCACGCCTTTTCCTCCAAGTGTTGCCATATCTTGTAATCTAACGGATTCAAATCTGGACTGGAGGAGGGCCAGTCTTCGTGCCGGATGAAGTCGATTTCACACGCCGCCAGCCAGTCTTGTGTGCTCTTCGCTCTATGAGCTGGCGCCGAATCTTGTTGGAATACCCAGTGCCTGTTATTGAACATGGTATGAGAAACAGGTTCCACAAAGTTCGTCAGGACTGTATTTTGATACACAACTGCATTCGTTTTTACACCTTTCTCACAAAAATGTACCTCTGTTAAGCCCCAATAAGAAACTCCCAACCATACCATGAGCAAGGATGGAAAATGACCTCGTTGGACACGCGGAATACGGTTACTCGCTTCTTCACTACTGTGTGCGTACACCTTATCATTTTGTTTGTTGTAGCTCTCTTCTACGGTAAAAATTTTTTCATCCGAAAAAAGAATTTCCCGATATTTTTGTTCCCGCGTACCGCTTCAACAAAGCGCGGCATCTCTTCAGTCTCAGGTCCATTAGACAAGCATTCAAACGATGTCCTGTTTTTCTTCAATATGCCCGAAGCCCTAAGTCTTCATTTAACACCCTTTTCACCGTGGTTCTGCTTAACCCCATCTGAAGGGCCAACAGTTTCTACTTACGTTTGAGATTTCTTTGAATTCGCGCCTTCACAGCTTTTATCACTACTTGAGTCCTAACAGACCGAGGGCGACCACTTCTTGACCTGTCATCTACACTAGAGTCTTCATTGTATCGTTTGATGGTACGATAAACGAATCTTTTTGTTATATTCAAATTTTTCAGTATGTCAAAAATTTGAATTGGCGCGTAAACGCAACGATGCAATGCAATAACTGCAACACGGTCTTCTTTAAGCGTCTACTCCATATTTAAAAATGAGTAAAATTCTAAAAAGTATACAGTTTTATTTTCATGAACAATTCGAAATTCGAATTCAATAAACTTTTTTGTGGCCAGCATTCTAAAAGAAAAGTTTTTACTGTGTGACAATACTTATAACCTGACTAGGTAGCCGCAGTATGGCTCAATCACATATAAAATAAATTATGTAATAGTGTTGAATAAAAATAGTTTGGGGATATTTTTATCACTATATTAATCATTTGTTCTTGTAGGAATACACGCTAGTACCAGGTGATAGTATGTTTTATTGAGATATATTGTATTGCAAGCTAAACTCACCAAACCTAATCTATAAAAATTTATACCAACCCTGCATAGAATGATCATATCAGCAAAAGCTGCTTGCCCATAACTATATAAATAAATAACTAAAATCAAAATTTGTAAACAAGTTTTTACACATCTTAACTTCTTCTTTCTTTCTTTACAGCGGTTACAATGAATTCCCCAATTACATGTTAAGTGTTATCAGTATTAATTGGACACAGACTCTGCACAAAGAAAGGGTATGATTCATATTAATATAATAAACTGCAAGTTCAGTTTGTAAATTTGATTCAAATTATCTATGATCACAATGTGTATGATAATTTTGGACATCATGCTGATGAAAATGGTCATATATAACCTCAAAACGGGTACAGCAAAATCTTATACATCGTCGAGCCATGCTGCAGCTATATTGGTAGACTACACTCTCATAGAATACCAGCGTAAAATTGCAGCTTAACACTACTATGTTTCGTATGGTGAGCTTAGAGAACTGAGATAAGTATTCGCAAACAAGGATAGATGTAGATGTCTATGGTCCACAGCAACTACTTACCATCAGGTGTACTGTGTGATAGTTTGTCACACTATCCTATAAAAAAAAACAACAATATGAAAAATATTGGAGTGGATTATTGATATCACAAAATCATTGATGATGCTTTGAAACATATAGAGCCAATTTCATTAAAATAAAGTTGAATAAATGTCTATTCATTGAATTTGTATCTTTTATTCTCGATTTTTTAAGTAAAGTATTGTGAATTTCTTATTCAGAGCGCCGCTAAACCTAAAGTCTAACATAAATATGTTACCTTCTTTCACCACTTTCCTCAAACACTTTTGTTTTCTTTTTTACTTAAGTTATAATGATAATGACTGTATAAACAACTGTATTGCAGTTTATCTTGAGTGAATATGAAGATTCTATGATCACACAGTGTAAAATTTGTATTTGACTGATTGCTTTCAGACTATAATGATAGATAATGACATCATATATCCAGGAAGACATTATTATGATAATGAAGTAGTGCCCTAAAGAATTGAAACTTATATTAGATATGTAATTGTCGTTTTATGTTAATATCTATTTTCTCTGCCAAACAAACTACGCCATGGGTTGACTGACAGAAATGCTTAGTGGCATTAGGTTTACAGTTAAAATAAATAATAATTTTAAATTAGTGACACGTATACAATCACTCAGTCATTGATCCATTTACTATTACTTATAGATGAAAACTAGAATATTCACACATATTATACTAATTTAAAAAACAAAGTATATTGAAACAGGTGCCACGACTTACCCACTTCTTATCTCGGACACGTATTTTACAATCATTTCCACACATTTTTCATCAAGCTCTTTAACGGGGCCTTCTGATGGGGCCATTTTACTGCCAGTTTTGATTATAACTCACGAATTTTATTCGAAAAATAAACTTTGAAGAATATCTAGGTAAATAACCTCACTTCAGAGTCTGAAGTTCAGACAAAATACATTTGACATATGTACTACAACGAGCGAGCTTATTTTTTTTTTTTTGGAGTTTATGGCCTGGTATCTAGACCTTTAGGCCAAGTCTTAAGTATTTTTATTCGGTTTATTGTAATTTTCCCACTCCTTCATAGTATACTGCTTCACAATATGTTGATGCGTCACATTGTGCAGTTCTTGGGAGATTTTGGCGGCAACTTGATCCAGCAGACAGCTGATAGTTGGCGATGGTATCTAAAGGTGCCTATGCAAACAAACAGCTTATCTTGAGAATCCATCACCATCAGAGCACTTGTTTCACTGTTTCCACTAATAGTTCACATGCGTAGACACTTAATACACAAAATCGCAACACTTTTACATATCAAAGTCCACTTCAAACCATTATTTAAACAATAATACAGGAGCAGCAAACCGCCGCCGGTCAATTTCCCGCCAAAAACCCAACGAGCGAGCAATTACAATCAGTGTTGCCAAGTCTAGACCGTTTCGAATCGCCAAAAATTAAAATAAAAGTAGCCTAAATTCGCCTAATTTTTTTTTCTTTAATGTAGCCTAAGATCGTCTTCTGAATTGTCAGTTAGCCTATAAAGGCTATTTTTAATCATAGATCCCTTAGTACTTTATCGTAAACGTGAAAGAAAAGATCAACATATTTTATCTGTTTGTCATTATTAATATTTCAGAAATTGAAACGAAATATTTTATTAACAATTAAAGAGATTAACAATATATAATATAAGAAATAAATTTCTTAGGTCATTGATACCTTCAAATCTAGTCTACATTGATATTTCTCTGTGTCAAAAACATATGTTTCATTACACGCATTTTTATTATACATCCTAAGAGACTTACTTAACAAGGGAGAAAATTATATAGCCGACAAGCGCCCTTGTTTTTTTTTTCGAAGTAGCCTAAATGGCGACCAGTCGCCAATCGCAATTTTAGATCGCCCCGACACTCTTCGAGATAGCCTAAAAGGCGAAAAATCGCCTAACTTGGCAACACTGATTACAATGACAGCTGACTTTAAGGATGTCCAAGAGATGTCGATAACTATATAATATAAGTTTAATGTATTTTTATTAATATTTATCTTTTTTATTATATTGTAATTTATAATAAAAAACTGTAGTTATAAAAGATGGTGATAGTAAGTAGAAGTAGCTAAGTTAGTCCACGTCAGCATAGCAAACGATATCTACACCAGCGGCAACGTCGACTAGCAAATCTGATTTATAGGTGAGGTTCCACAGTAGCGGACATTTGATCTTCCTCCGGATCTGTATCGCACAAATAGTCCTCAATAACACCTAGCAGGAAAAAGGGCGTCTGATGTTATTGTGTTATTCGTCATTATTGCGTCTCAGGGTAGAGAGTTAAAGTGATTGACAATATCGAGACTAATCACCAACGCTACACCACTCTGCAATACTCCTTGTTAGGACAAGGAGCGGACTTGCATAACTCGCACTACAATGAAACGTTCCCTTCGCAACCCAAATTGGCTATCGGCTAAACAATTAAATCAGGACCTACGCGGGAAAGATGTCGTAGCGTAGTATTAACTATCCTCTCGAATCATTTCACAATTAAGTCCAACAGGCATATATGCAGAGTGTAGTGTTTGCGTATATATAGTATACAGTAAATTATGTTATTTGTTTTATTTACTAATATTTTACCATGCACAAATACACAAACATACATTTATATATAATTCACTGTCTCGAGCGCACCACGTCAGTTACACGAGAGCCTCGGGCGAGAGTGGACGTGTTTAGTTAAGTGCGTGCCGAGCCTGTGTTACTGATTAGAGAACATAGCAGACAATACATAGAGGTATAATCGGCGGCCCTGTTTAAGAGGACCAACACTGCCTCTTTCCATGCTGAGAAGAACAGCTGAGCTAAGGCTGTGCCTTGGAGCAGCCAGACTTAACACAAGGATAGGATCGGTGTTTTCGGTTCAGCTCGCCTACGATTACTCCCATCTCATTTTGCCACTCTGATGACGACGGTGGGAAACCTAGGGATTTGCCTGGTTTTCTGGGAAGAAGGTGCTGACCATACTTTCCAACAGGCCCAGATCTAAAATCTCCGTCCGTCGTCTCTGGCACTGACCAGGTACGGAACTTACCGAGTACCATCCTTATCAAAATGTAGATGTGTTGTTACCCCTGAGGACAAAGGTGGAATGCCTCACATCTTGTGATTATACTAGCTTTATATACCTTTCAGACCGGAGCACATCAGTACAAGCGCTAGTATTTGGCAGCAGTAGTAGGTAAGAGGGTGGTACCTACCCAGACGGAATCCTAAGAAAAAAGTCAATCAAAGAAAAAAGAAGGATTTTTGCCATTCGTTACCACGCTTGGCCTACTAAGGTAGGCAACCGCAGTTGTTATCAGGAAGATGCTGCCCATGTTCTGTTTCATTTCCCTCTCTCGACTCTTGCAATACCCACGGTACGATATTTAATAAATGGACATTCAACGTTATTTTAAATATTTGAAGAACTTTTCCACTTAAATTATTATTTATTTATATAAAGTTATTAGTAAGTAAAAATTAAATTAAAACCAGAGCATATCAAAAAATATTTATTCTATATCGAAAGAACTAAATTCTAAAATCGTAATTGATTTACGTTATAAAGACAAACAAACGAAGCCACAAAAACTGCATGATTTAAAAATCAAATCTAAAGAGAAAACTAAAACTCGATGATAAAGTGTGGAGAATTAATAACACCTACGAGAAGTTAAGACATCATTCAGCCGTCAGTTACCACGCCAGCCAATTTTTCGTTCAAGTAGTATTGTACTTAGCTACCAACATCATCATCATAATTTCTAATGATAATCATGGTGATTTGATTACAACTTTCACAAGTACAATGCTGAATATAATATAGGCCTTAAAATAGGAATACCATAAAACACAGTCCAGAGCCATCTGCTTACGTACGTCTTACCAGGTAATCACTGTATTTATTGGAAAGTTGTCGTATACTTTCCTTATCAGTACGAGGCTGCCATTGGAGAATCTTTCCACCTCATCAGTTGTCTGTTATCAGAGCCATATGGCTGGCACAGTGCCACATAAGACTACTGATCCGTTGGGTTATGTCGCTTACTATATTTTTTCTGCGTATGTCTTCATTACCAATTTTATCGCGTATAAAACTGCAACATATAATTATAATTTTAATATTTTGACTGAAGGACTCTGTGTCCATAGTCATTATGTAATTAATAAAAAAAAATATGTCTGGTTAGAACTGTCATTTCTAATGACTTTTGTTCAAATCAATATTTTCGATTATTTTTAAATAAATTAACATCGGCTACATATGCAAAGTTACTTTATGTACTTATTTTTAAGTGCTGAAAAGTTGTTCGCGGTTCCCCAAAACGAGTTTCATTCATAAACCGCTTGAATATTAGTAACATTATGTGATAATTTCTCTCGTAACGCTTGAGTGGATTTTAACTACGGAAATGAGAGTATTTGTGTCGAAATTCGACTGAAATCGACCGTAATGGATTTGTCTCCAGACGAAGATAACTTTCCAGGTCGATTGCTGCATCAGGTACCGTGAAAAACTGATACATTAACTTGAATTGCATGCTTCATGTAAAACGTAGTGATTATATGTTATTTGGCCAGTTGTTAATTTATTAACGCCAGAGATGGTTAGTTCCGACGATACTTCAGTGTCGGGACAAGTTCTCCAAAGATTTACATCTGGTACCGTGTCCGTTTGTCCCATATATGGGTCCAGACTAGTGGTGAGTTGTTGAATTTTTGTCGAATTTTTAATGGAAGAAACGCTGTTTTCCTGAGGACGAAAACGGTTTCAGAAAACGGTCGTTGTTGCAACTGGTATGAAGGCGGTTTAAACTACGAAACTTATCCAACATAGAGTAGAATTACGTTTTCGTTGAGTGAAATGGTTACTGTTTCTTACAACTATCAATGATTTCAAATATATGAAGTGGTTTACTAAATAATTCATTTTATCGATCCACTTTACTAAACTACCACAGACAGACAGACTTTTATCCTTTTACCAGGCATATTTAAAGGATTGTTTTTATGTACATAATTTTTTTATCCCAATTCATTATTCATGCAAGTCGACTTTGAACTCTATTTCAACAATCATAAGCTTGCACAGATTTAACCTACGCATCACGAACAACAGTATTGACAAATAGTAATACATTAGCGACTGTATTTCATTGACAAAAAGTTCACTTTTTATTGTAAGGACTGTTGCATGCCTTAATCGCGAAGCGCATAGGTTACTCTACTAGGGCCTAAAAATCAAGATACCAATGTTTTGTCACATAAAATCATATCTAACATTCATATTGTACATATAAATGATATAAAAAGCACATTGTCACAAAGTTAAATGAGTGTTGAACTTATTATTATTTTTTAAATCGATTAATTGCTAATTTTACATAAAAAATGGTTTTAGTGGCTTATTGTGTGGATTTATCAAGTCCACATGGAGGTGTAAACATGATAACTTTTGAAAATATAAATTTTTCAACTCAATCTATTTTTTAATCTCTTCATCTATCATGTGGGAAGTCATGAAATGTAAATGGCAGTCTAATTTGGTTTTGTTTAGTTATAATTAATTTATTCGGTTTAGAAATCCCGAAATTTTTGGTGTTTTGAGCAGCCTTGTAACAATTTATTTTATTAAATAGACTGCCTCACTCACTCACATCGGGCTCAGCCACCATCTGAGTGGATACTGTATCGGTATGTTTGCAGTGGCTCGTGCTCAAAAAGATCGCTGTACGAATACAAAATATTTTAAAAACCAAACTTGATACATACTTGATTGTTATTATAATCACAGATTTTTATTACAATATTTTAAAAGCACTGAATAAATAATAGTACTATGTACTAAAAGTAAGTAGGATGTATATATAAATATACTTAAATATGTCTTGGACTTTATGGAGTGACCTGAATGATGATATGATGATCATATGAGCATTATGAATCATGCACTTTTGGATTTTCCAAACTTTATTGACATAAAATTATTGGAATATGGGAAGTATGATAATTAGATTATTAATGACAACTTGTGTGTATTTAAACTATTTTAAAAAATTTATGTGTAATGATGTTATAAGTACCAACCAATAGTTTTGTTTGTCTCTGTCTACATTTGTAAATGAATGCAGAACCAAAGACTACTATATGACGCGAAACATAAAGTACAACAACGCTACGAGTGAGATAGATACTTGAATCATCAAACGTTGCATTCTCGACTGTATTTTCATAGGCGTAAAATAAAAAATCGTACTAAGTAATTCGAAGACTGTTTTGTACAACGAAGACTGTTTGAACCAAGGATGTAAAACAGTTTCTTCTCTCTTTGTAAACGGTTCGTCGTCGCAACGCCCACCCCTAATCCGGACTGTAGGGTTGGCATTGTTCAACTTTTTTTTGAACATGTATGGCTAACTAGCACACAGTTCACCTGATGGTAAGTGAATGCTGTGGCCCTTTGACATCTACATTTATTCTCGATTAAGAGTCAAAATGCAGATACGTTGTCACCCTGGGGACTAAGATTTAATGCCTCCTTTCAGGCAAAAAAAGTCCCCGGTTCTCTACACTCACCATACAAAAAATAACAGCATTAAGCTGCTATTTTACGCTGGTATTCTGTGAGAGTGTGGTCCTACCCCGGTCGAGCTGACACATTCTAGCTACAACCATAATATAGCTGCAGCATGGATTTACCACATTTAAAACACAGTCTATCTCAACTACAAACAATCCTCAAAAAAAAATGATCAAAGATCCGCCTGACCAACCATTCTAGTCTGAGATGGTTACCATCTCACTCTTGATCTTGCTCTTTGCTTGTACTTTCTTGCTGCACATTGTTTCCTTGCTTTTACAAATTTTAGTTGTGGTATTCTCGTCCAAAACTAAAATCTGTTATCTGGCAGTGTTTACCACTGGCCACAAACTACCTAAGCAATGCTTAAAAAGTGAACCAAAGTTATAGTAGCTAAGTTAAACAAAGGTATTTTAGTTAAACTTACTCTAACAAAGTTACACCGCCATCAGGATATGGTGTTTCGCCCCCATGCCATCATTGACAATTTCTTGACAAATTCGAATCCATGACCATATGTTCAGCAGTCGAACCTACGACCAACGAGTCAGTTGTACATACATACTAAACATTATATCACATACCGGGACAATTTTATACTACCACTCAAAAACCAATAGCTTACAAGCCAGCGTGAGCGAAAAGGCGCACAGTTTAAAGCAGTAAATGGGTAGCAGCACCATCCTGATAAAAACTCAAAGTAATATAAAACTGTGTTTACCCACACGCAAGCCAAGCGTGGCAACTGACAACTTTATTACTTTTTTTTTAAAATTAAATGGGCTATAATTCAAGGAAGACCAAGTTATAAAATTCGACGGCGACAATGAGGTGATGTGTGCTATAGAGGCCTTTTTCGAGTCCCAGGATCTAGTTTTTTTTCTCCAAGGGAATTAACCTGTAAAACGCTATTCAAGGCGTATTAGCTTAAAAGGCCATTACATTGAAAAATAACTAGAATTTACATAATATACGTATCCTAAAGTTTCATTGCGTTTCCAAAAACTTATTGGAAGTAAATACTTTAGAAATGACTTGGTGGGTGGCTCGAACTTTGGGCCTAGTCAATTTGAATAGCCTATCATGTAGAGGATGTCTAGGGGCTCATGGTTGAATAGGGGCAAAAAGTTCTTATTACTCTCCTAGGGGGTCAAAATGGCCAAATCCCAAAAAAATTAAAATTCTTATTTCGGCTATAACTCCGCCTCCTTCGGAGGTTCTTACGCAGTTTTTACTTCCCGCATCCTATTAGTTGATCTACCTAGTAAGTTCTTTTATTACTTTAGTTTTATGAAAAACAAAACAGACCCATTCGCGCTACATCCATAGTTTTTTTTTATAGGAGAGCAAACGAGCATGCGGCTCACCTGATGGTAAGTGACTATCGCCGCCCATGAACAACTGCAACACTAGGGGAACCAGGGGAATTGCAGATGCGTTGCCGGCCTTTTAAAAAGGAGTAGGCCCTTTTCTTGAAGGTCCCTAAGTCGTATCGGTCCGGAAAAGTCGCTGATGGTAATCGATTCCACAAGGAAGTCGTGCGAGGAAGAAAGCATCTTCTAAATCGCACAATGGTGAACCTCCAATCATCCAGATGGTGTGGATGGTATTGGGAGTTCTGTCGCGATGTGCATTCGTGAAATTTGGCGGCTGGGATTAATCCGAACAATTCCTCAGAGCACCCCCCGTGGTAAATGCGAAAGAAAATGCAAAAGAATGCAACATCTCTTCGTAGCGCCAATGAATCGAGCCGATCGGAAAGGACTCGGTCGTCGACGATTCGAGCCGCTCTGCGCTGGATGCGTTCAAGTGGAAGGAGCTGGCACTGGGGTGCCTCGGCCCAGAGATGGGAACGGAATACTGTGAGGCGGAACCTGCGCCTTGTAAAGTTGCAGGCGTTGGGCAGGTATGAAATACTGTCCCGCTCTGCTGAGCACGCCAAGATTTTTAGAGGCCGATTTGGCCTTCTCTTCCAAGTGACCACGAAACTGCAAGTCACTAGATGTGTCGATTCCGATACTGGCTGAAGCAAGAAGGGGAGTGCTTTGAAACTGAGGAGATACGACAAAGGGGTTCTTTTTAGCGGTAAACGCGCAAACTTGTGTCTTCTGAGGATTAAACTAAACTACTAGATACTAAACTGGACTAGATTTAGTCGCCCCCAATCTGAGACTTTGTTCAGCAAAGACTCGACTTCAGACACAACTTTGTTCCGGTACTCGGCGACGTTTTCCCGAGAAATATTGGCACGGCCGGTGTATAGAGCATCACCAGTGCTGTCATTCGCATAGCAATGAATGTTACCAGTTAGCAACATATCATTGATATGCAGAAGAAACAGCGTTGATGATAGCACGTAGCTTTGTGGAACACCAGCGTTAATAGGCTTGTAGTCGGAGCATGCACTGTCTACAACGACCTTGATGCTCCGATCTGCAAGGAAGCTGGTGATCCAATTGCACAATTTCTCGGGAAGCCCACAGGAAGGGAGCTTCGAAAGAAGCGCTTTGTGCTAAACCCGATCGAAGGCCTTCGCAATGTCCAAACTAACGCCCAACGCTTCCCCCTTGGACTTTACTGCCTCCGCCCATCTATGGGTCAGATAGACCAGAAGATCACCAACTGATCGACCCCGACGAAAACCGTATTGGCGGTCACTAATCAGCTGGTGATCCTCAAGGTACCGCATGAGCTGGCAGTTAATAATGGATTCCATTATTTTGGAGAACAAGGAGGTGATGGCGATAGGCCTGTAGTTGGACGGGTCTGAGCGGTCGCCTTTTTTAGGGATCGGGTGGACAAAAGCTGTCTTCCATGAATTCGGGACTACGCCTTGGGAGTAGGAATACCGGAAAAGCCGCGTTAGAACCGGTGCCGACTCCGGAGCACACGTCCTCAGCACAATTGGGGGGATTCCGTCAGGCCCACTCGACTTGTGGATGTCGAGGGAGAGGAGTGCTTTGCGAACTGAGCGCTGTGAGAACAGCACATCCGGCATGGAACACTCACACCGCGGGATGGTCGGCCTAAAAGGTCGGCTTTGTCTTTTGCGGCTTGGGCCAGTGAGTCGTCCTCCCTGTGCAGAGATGGTAGTGATGGCTTACAGAAATTTCCTTGGACAGCCTTGGCGGGAGACCAGAATGCACGGGTTCCCGAAGGAAGGCGAACTAGTTTCTCGCCAATTCTGCCTATCTGCTTTGATTTTGATTTGGCAATAACTCTTTTGAACGACCTGGAGGCGAAGTTATACTTCTTTTTAAGTGTGCTGGTGTTTACATCCCGAGTCGCCGAAGCCGCAGCCCAGGCTTGATAACACTCCTGCTTACTGCGTAATGCAGTCTAACAGGAGCGATTAAACCAAGGCTGAGATCTGCCTCCGATGCGTGCTACAGATGATGGAATAAATAGTTCCATTCCCTGTAGTACCACATCAGTGACAGAGTTAGCAACAGCGCTGGGATCATCCGGCGAGAAGCAAACCCGCCCCCATGGGCAGGTTGCAAAGAAAGACCGCATTCCGTCCCAATTCGCCGACCTGTAATGCTAAACACAGCGGCAATCTGCAGAACGCAACCACACTCCGGATCAGACAATGGTCCGAAGAGCCGAGAGGGGCATCGACGGAAACCTGATATACGTCCGGATGAGAGGTCAGCAGAAGGTCCAACAGGGAAGGTGTATGATTCTCCACATCTGGAATCCGCGTAGGCGAGGTAATCAGTTGTGTCTGACCATATGCCAAGGCAAAGTCATAAACAGATCTTTCCGCATGGTCGCACGCATCGGTTAAACGTGAACCGAGCAATTCGGCGTGGTGGGCGTTAAAATCGCCAAGGATCACTGCGGATGGGACCTGTTGTAGCAAGGAATCTGTAGCCATTTGGACGTGGTCGATGAGTCGGTCTGTTTCGGCATTACCGCTATGGGACCTATAGAGGCACCCGTAGACGCGCGGATGGTCGTCGCTGTCTACGTGTAGCCAAAGGACGGACAGGTCCGAACCTTCGAGACTGCCGAGGCGTCGAGAACAGATGCCCTCTCTGACATACACGCAAACTCCAGCCTGAGGCACAAAGGAGTGCTCCAATTTGTACCCCAGGCGAGGGATTGTCCAGGGGTGCTGGTACCTTCCTGGGGTAGTCTTTGGTGTAATTCCGCTACCATGTTGATGAGGGGAGGGGGAATTGGGCCTCCGGCCACCAGCACTCACCAGACGAAACGCAGAAGCAGAGCTTCTACTTCACGCCGGTATTCTGTGAGGTCGTGGTACCAACCCGGCCCGAGCCGGCTCATAAGTGCAACAGCAAAAACTGCCGCGTGGCTCTACCACCGTTAAAAAAATATATAATAGTTTACAGCAGCTAGTTATCTTAGTACTAAGTTTGATCTTTTGTGTGATCAGGCAGCCCTGTGGGACAACTTGGAGTTCCTGCAGGAGCTGCTGGCTAACGGGGCTGACGTAAACGCCCGCGATGCGAACAATCGTACGGCGCTTCATGCAGCCGCGTTGGCGGAGCGGAGCCGTTGTCTGGTAGCGCTGTGCGCCGCGGGCGCTGAGCTGGACGTGCAGAGTGACGTCAGTACTGGCGGAAAGGTGGGTTGGTTGGTTTCCGATGTGAATACATCATGTAAAGTTGTTTAAATAGTGGAAACTGATGATAATGTACAGAGTGACGGTAGCACAGAGGGAAAGGTGAGTATGTTAGTTTTTTAAAATAATGTATGGGTGACAAACGAGCACACAGTTCAGCTGATGGTAGGTGGTTGCTGCGGCCCCTAGACATCTACATCTATCTTTGATTAAGAAATGAAGTGCAGATGCGTATTCACCCCTGAGGACTGCGATAAAATTTTTCCAGTAAAAGGGTCTCCAATTCTCTACTCTCACTATACGAAACACAATATTAACCTGCTATTTTATGCTGGTATTCTGTGAGGGCGTGGTCCTACCTCGGTCTGGCTGACTGATTCCGCGCTGCAACCATAATATAGCTGCAGCGTGGCTCCACCACTTATGAATAAGGTTCTTGACTTGCAAGACTCAAAGAGAGCAAAGGCGACCAATCTCAGCCTATGAAAGTCCACTGCTGATAGGGTTCCCAACCCTCCCGGATTGCCCGGGAGACTCAGGTAATAATGGTTAATCTCCCAACCTCCCGGGGTGCAATAATTTCTCCGGCTTTTCTAAAAATTATACGCATCCTTCGTTTGCACGTGTCGCTACTTGCTACTCAGTCGCTTTGCGGTCACACACAACATCGCGCGCCGCTGCCGGTGTAAATCTGTTCGTCTTGCCATCGACGTTGTCTATTCGGCGGTGTCTGTCCGGTCTGGTGAAGATTCGGAACACCAAGCAATGAAAATTTTATCTTTAAGAGAACCAATCACATGGACAGGCATTCTAGATTCCAGGAATTATTAAATGTTGACTTAGATAGTGACAAACTGTACAATGAGGTTGGACTTTTGCGTGAGATGCAACCACACCTTGTTGAAGAAAATCGAGTGGATTTACGCTGGGTGAATTTCTTTACGAAATCGAAAGTTCGATAAACATAAATCCCTGTCCTGGATTGAAAAAATGGTCACATTTTGTTCTTTCCATTCCTTTCTGTAATGCTACTTGCGAGCGCGTATAAACATGATGGAACAGGCATAGAGCAAGAAAAGAAACCGAATGAGTACTTCTTTAGTAAAAGCAGAGTAACTGAACATAGGCCTCCACATATAATGTCATAGTCGGGCCCCATAAATTTGTTATATTTGCCACGCTTGGCACCCACATTATTTTATAATTTTGATTTATTGTCAAGATGATGCTGCTGCCTATCTCCTGTTTCTGTTTCCCTCTGTCGCCTCTTACGACATACGCGGGACGATATGGGATATTGGATATTCTTATTCTTACCGCTATTTTTTTTATAGAAGAGATGGCAGACGAGTATGCGGCTCACTAACCTGATGGTTAGTGTTGACCGCCGCTCATTAACAACTGTAACCACAGGGGAAATGCGGGTGTGTTGTTGATCGTTAAAAACGAGTAAGGTCCTTTTTTGAAGGTACCTAAGTCGTATCGGTGGCGGTGAAAATATCTTGAAGTAAATAATTCCACAAAGAAGTCGTGCGAGGAAAAAACTCCTAGTAAATCGCACAGTAGTTGAACTCCAGGTATCCAGATGATGTGTATGGTAACGGGAGTGTAGTCGCGATGTGCGTTGGTGAAATTTGGCGGCTGGAATTAATCAAAATAGTTCCTTAGAGCACTCCCCGTGGTAAATGAGATATAACATACAAAGGGATGCAACATCTCTTCAGTTTTTTCTGCCACTACATAGTTTATCGCAGTTTATTTCCCGAATCACCGAGGTTTTTTTCTTGATTATTTATTTATTATTTTTTCTTCAAGAAGTTTTCTTCCTCGCACAACTTCCTTGTGGAATCGACTACCACCAGCGATTTTTCCGGATCGTTACGACTAAGGGACCTTAAAGAAAAGAGCCTACACTTTTTTAAAAGCCCAGCAACGCATCTGCAATTCCCCTGGTGTTGCAGTTGTTCACGGGCGGCGGTAGTCACTTATTATCAGGTGAGGCGCATGCTTGGTTTCCCCCTATCATATAAAAAAAACCTTGTTCATAATTACAACGAGGCTGCCGAGGTCCATCGCTTAAGTACATTCAGCACTTAAATTGTGAACCTTGGCTGATAGCACTTCCTTATCGTCACAGCGGAAGAACTATACAGTTTAATGTAATGGTAACGCGTCCGACCGAAGTGTTAGTTTTACAGCACACTCTTTGGCCAATACAATACCTTAGATTATAACTAATAGTTCCTACGTAAATGTAAACAATGCTAAGTTATTTTTAGTAGTTAGTTTTTTAGTGAAATGTCAACATTTAAATTGAAATTTTTTGAACGAAAAAAGTATTTAAGCGTTCAATCGGCGAGTGTGGTGTGCCCATTTGGTACTTTTTGTAAATTTAATGTAATAAAAAAATATTGTAGCTTCTAATTTTTATACACTCTTCGTGTGTTTTTTTTTTATAGAAAGTTGTGCTTGTGCGTTGTGTTTTCTGACTTGCCCTTTCTAAATCTTGGTTATGGGTTCATTTTCATCGGTATGTATATTTTTAACAGACTGGTATGTATGTTACGCGATATCTTCGCAGATCGTGAACCAATTTTGATGATTCTTTTATAATAAATAGGTTATACTTCAAGGGTGGTTCCCTATATATTTGGAGAAAAAATTCCACCCCTAAAGGTAGCAAATAAATAACTTCTTTTTTAGCAATTAGATGTCGGTTTTTACTTTTTTTTAAATGATCGTTATTAAGTGGCGAAGCTTGCGAAGTCACTTATTGATTTCACGATGTCTGTCCGTCTGTCTCACGATTATCTCGAGAACGGTTGAATTTTCAAATTCTGTTTTCAGCAATCGATTACTGATCACCCAGGCATCTGAACCTCCTATTTTGAAACTGATTGCTCAACGGCAACCGTTAGAAACCGCTACAAAGCTGATTGCTTCGCCACTTTGCTATGCTGTTAGCTTGCTAGGTTTATTTTAGTTACAATTGGTTTCTTATGTGCGTTGTTGTTATGGGGTATGCATTATAACTCGTATTTCGTTTTCATTTCGATTCTGTTATTTTTTTCGTATGTATGTAACGCGATTCCTTCGCCTATAGGGGACGGATTAGTTTTGTTTTTTTATTTAATAGGGGAAGGCGCTAAAGCATTTTAAGCTATTTTTAAAATAAATGAGGATAACAAACGAGCACCAGACTACCTGGTGTTAATTGGAAGCAGTGGGTCATAGATATCTACATCTATTCTCGAGTAACAATTACAAATGTAGACGCGTTGTGATAGTGAACACTGGGAAACAAAATGGAATGCCCAAATGTTTGTTAGAGCCACTCTGTTGCTATATTATGGTTGCAGTACACGTAGGTCGACTCGACTGGGGAAGGACTACACTCACACAGAATACCAGCGTAAAATAGCGGCTTATTGCTCCTGTGTTTCATGTGGTGAGTGTCGACAACCGGAGACCTTTTTACTGGAAACGATTGATTCTATCTTAGTCCTCGGGGGTGACAACGAATTTACTCTTGATTGCTCTTCAAACTAAGTAAGACACATTATTTTATTTTAATACGCGGAGTTTAGCAAAATAAATTTTTAATATCTTTAATATAACGAATTACAATAATTTGATTTTTAATTGGAAGTGGATCTCCGCAAAGTAACTCTTGATTCTATTAATCATCTTAAACGCTGCTGCAGTAGGTAGGTACATGCGGCACCATACGCTGAGTCGGAATTTTTGGCTTCACACTTTTTATATAGAATAATGATGACAAACGAGGCATTTACATTTATCCTCGACCAATATGTAGATGCCTCGTATCCAGTAAAAAGGGTCTCTGGTTCTCTGTATTCCCCACACGAAACACAGCAGCATTAAGCTGCTATTTTACGCTGGTATTCTGTGAGAGAATGGCCCTTCCCCGGTGGAGACATTCGTGTTACAACTATAATGTAACTGCAGCTTGGTTCTAGCAATTTTCTTGTTGAAATGTATTTTCATTAATGTTCCCTTATCCTGCACGTTTTTTTTTGTTTACTTCTAAAGGTAAACCCAAGTCAGTGTATTGATGACAATGTAACTACGGTATATAAAATACGAAATAGTTTATTGCGGTTTACAATTAGCCTAATACAATTTTAAGTAATTGGAGCTTCCTTTTAAGCAAATAATCTTGCTTGCGCTTGGAAGCACCGCTCTTCCATAGCGAGGTTACACAATAGATTAAGAACCGCCGAATAAATATAAATTAAATTTATACGTGCTAGAACTATGCCGCAGCTATATTAGTAGTATAGTTGTAGCACGAATGGGTCGGTTCGACCGGGGAAGGACCACGCTCTCACAGAATACCAGCGTAAAATAGCAGCTTAATACTGCTGTGTTTCGTATGGTGAGTGTAGAGAACCGGTGACCCTTTTCACTGGAAAAGAGGTATTCCATCTTAGTCCTCACGGGTGCCAACGTGTTTGCATTTTGATTCTTTATTGAAGATAGATGTAGATGTCTATGGGTCATAGCAACCACTTATCATCAGGTGGCCTGTGGGCTCGTGTGTCACCCAATCCTATAAAAAGAAATGCAAAACTACAACTACTAATGTTATAAGCACATGTAAAGTTATGTGTGGTAGTGGTGGGGTGGTACGCAGTGGCTATAGCTAGGCGTGGGCGAAGTGGGTCCTCATTCACGGCCTCGCACTTACAGGGGCCTCGCGAGGCCGCTTAAAATGTGAAGTCCACAGCCTTTACCACAGATGACTAATTAGTTTCATCACTTTTACGATTTTTACAAATTTAAAAGCGTGTTTGTTTGCGGCCAAGCAAGAAGCACCTCTTAAGTGCGATTGCGAGGCCGATGTAACTACCTTCAAAGACCACGACAGTTATATTGACGGAATACGGGACTTGTCAGGAATTAATAGCTATGAGTAGGTATCTCGTGTCAAAGCATGTTTGGTAGGATAGATCTATTGGGTAGATCTTGGAAACGAAAGAAAAGGGGCCTCGCTGATGCGACTTCGCCTTCGTCTTTATTAGTCCACGCTACGCCTCTGGTGGTACGTAGTTAATGGTAGACAGCTCAAAGCTCCCGTCAGTTGAGAATGACTGGCGTGAAAACTACGACGACTGTTGGGAAGCCAATGTTCAGCAGCGGTCTTGTGATAGGCTGTAATGATAATGATGAAGAGCCCTGGTAGCTCAGGTGGTTAGCGCTCGATGTCAATTTCACAGTACGCGAGCAATCCGGGTTCGAAACTTGCCGGCACCAATGAAATTGTTAATTGCAATTTTAAGTACTGTACCACGTGGTCGGTGGTTATTTTTAATTTATTTTTTATAGGATAAGTGTGACAAGCGAGCACACAGTCCACCTGATGGTAAGTGGTTGCTGCGGCCCCTAGACATCCACATCCATCTTCGCCCGCGAATTAAAATGCAGATGTGTTGTCAGCCGTGAGGACTAAAATGGAATGCCTCTTTTCCAGTAAAAGTAACACTAAGCTCCTATTTTACGCTGGTATTCTGCGAGAGTGTGGTCCTTCCCAGGTCGAGCCGACCTATTCGTGCTACAACTACACAATACAGCTGCAGCATGGCTCCACCACGTATAAATTTATGGTGAAGGAAAACATCGTGAGGAAATGTATGTCTAAGAAAAAAAATTTCGAAAACATGTGAAGTCCGTCAACACGCTTTGGAGCAGCGCGGCGAACACTTTCTTGTCCTAAAACCCTCTCAGAGGTGAGAGGAGGCATGTGATGATGAAGATATACGTCGTCGTCTATGAGATTTTTTTTTCTAAAATCACTGATTAAAGTCGATGTCCTTCTATAGACGGCTCTTCACATAGCAGCCGAGCGTGGTCACGCGGAGAACGTGCGGGCTCTTCTGTCTGCAGGAGCTCGACCTGATGTAGTCGACGCAGCTGGCGACACTCCCCTCGGATTGGCAGAGCGTGGCTGCCATCGTCACGCTACTCACGCACTGCGAGAGGCAAAAGGTAAGTACATCTTTAGGTTGTGCATTTGTCAAAGTTTATTTTTTATTTTTATTATAGAATTACGGTGACAAAGGAGCACACAGTCCATCTGATAGTAAGCGGATGCTGTGACACATAAACATCTACTTCCATTCACGATTAACAATGCGATGCGTTGTCACCCGTGAGGACTGAGATGGAATGTCTAATTCCCAGTAAAAAGGGTCTCCAGTTCTCTATACTCACCGTACGAAACACTGCAGCATTAAGCTGCTATTTTACGCTGGTATTCTATGAGAGCGTGCTCCTTCCTCGGTTGTGCCGACCCATTCGTGCTACAACCATAATATAGAGCAGCGTGGCTGTATTATGTAATAAACACGTGCGAAGGATTTTTTTGAACACGTTACACACGCCAGCATTTCCTCCTGTATCGTGGAGGCAGTTTAGATACATAGATTTCACAAGGACAAACATCCACCTGGAACAATTATTTGTAGGCCATACAGATACTTGTTACGTGCGGGATTCGAACCTGTGGCCCTCTGCGTCGTAACTCATTACAGAGCCACTGTGCCACGGATCTGTAAAATTTAATTTTACTATATTAAATCAAGATTAAAGCAGAGATATTCTAAGTAATTGTAGTAAGTTTTCAAATACATAATACGATAATATTTTCTTAATATAAAAACAAAGTAACCTCAATTGATAAAGTGGTACCTATCCCGACGGACTTTGAGACAGAAAAGGAGTCCAATAAACTAGTGCGCTATTGATTTCTTATATTTACGTGAATACTACACGTTGAATAAAACTATTTTTACGGATTTTTAATTCAAAATTATTAATTAAAAAATACTTTTTAAAATTTAAAGTCTTCAAAAAAACATGAAGGTAGCCGGGCTATCATGACATTGGGACGTCAATCACCTCAGTCCCCCCGTTGGCCGTGGGTGCTGTAAAGCACCGGAAACGTCGGGAATTAAAAATAAGTAAATTAAACTTATTATTAATTCCCAACATTTCTGTGTGAATGTGTAGTACAGTATTGTAATATTTTAACGAAATTTAATCGAACCTTTTTATAGGATAAGGATGACAAACGAGCACACAGTCCACCCGATGGTGAGTGGTTGCTGTGGTCCATATACATCCACATCTATCCTCAACTACGAGTCAAAAAAAATGCAGATGCGTTGTCACCCGTGAGGACTAAGATGGAATGCCTCGTTTCCAGTCAAAATGGTCTCCGGTTCTTGAGTAGGTACAACACGAAACACAGGTATTCTGTGAGAGCGTGGTCATTTCCCGGTCGAGCGGGCACATTCGTAGTGGCGTAGCTATGTAACCAAAGGCCCCGGGGCAAAAATGAAATTGGGGCCATATTTAAACTAAACTAAATACTTTAAAGGTGCAGAACTACTTCATCATCAGCTCCTTGTCGCCCATTGCAGGCCATAATAAAGCAAAGCTACTTACTACTAAGTATTATGTGTAACGTATAAACAATGACGTTGTAGATTACAGTTAATAATATAGGTAGACAACATAACAGTGGAAGAGCCACACGGCGCTTTTGCTATCGCACTGGTGGACCAAACTAGATGGAGTGACGACCTGGTAAGACATGAAATGAAGAGCTGTAATGAATGAATGTAATGAATGGATGGCGTAAAAAGCTTGGCATGCTTAGCAGAGCGGGACAGTATTTTATGCCGGCACACTGCTTGCAACTTTGCAAGGGGCAGGTACAGCCTAACATTGAATACTGTTCTCATCCCTGGGCCGGGCTCCCTAGTGCCAGCTTCTTCCACTTGACCGCATCCAGCGCAGAGTGGCTCGAATCGTCGACGACCGACGAAGACGAAAGACGAGACGAAGAGATGTTGCATCCCTTTCCATTTTCTAGCGCATTTACCACGGGGAGTGTTCAGAGGAATTGTTCGCATGAAGATCAAAATTTTATTAACGCATTTCACAAATCCATATCGTCGGGATGTTTAGCAGTCCACTACTGTCGGATCGATATGACTTAGGGACCTCCAAGAAACGAGCTTACTCCTTTTTAAAAAGGCGGCAACGCGCATGCAATTCCCCTGGTGTTGTTTTTGTTAATAGGCGGTGGTCGACACTTGCCATCGGGTGAGCCGCGTGCTCGTTTGTGCCACTCTTCTATATAAAAAACACAATAAAACAAAGTAGACAATTATCTTTAATAATGTTATATTTATGTTCTGGAAGTGAGAGTGATTTTTGTGATTTCAGTTGTAGCCGTTCGCGGTCAGGAGCCAAAAAATTAAAACTCGAATATTCTTTATACAACTAGGATAGTACATAATTTTTCGAACGTTCTTCTTGGAGGCCGAGGGGCCCCTTTAGCTTGGAGGCCCCGGGGCACTGCCCCGTCTAGCCCCTGGGTAGCTTCGCCACTGCCCATTCGTACAACATTATACCAGTAATATAGCTGCAACATGGCGCTACCACGTAAAACACGTGTTTTCAACAGCATGCAACTACCCAAAAGTTTGTATAATATCATTTGTTACTTTTATTCTATACAAACAACTAAAAACGTCTTTTTACAATATTTATAAATAAATAAAATAATGCATCGAGTTTTAGTAAATACAAAAATATTTAGTCACTACAATTTAAAAACTCATTTATTTTATAAAATGTTTTCTCTACCACCCATTTTCGTAATGAAATTTTAAACCTTTTATATGGTAATTAAGGTATTTTGGGAGCCTCCCCCCGCGTCCCTATCACAGGCGATCACACTTTAGTAACCCCTCCCCGCTGGTGTGTCACACCAGACACACGTTACATATTTTTCAATTTCATATTTCAGAAGTAATTAAATTAAACAGCAGCTTATCCAATTTTTTTTATTTAAATTAAAATAATTTTTAATAAAATCAAAATAAAGTGAAATATTTTAGTTAATGAACAAAACAAGAGACTAATTAAAGAACGATAAACGTTTAATAATGTTATAAGATATGAAACTAAATCAAGCCTAAGCTTCATAAAATATATATCGAGTTAGTAATATTTCTGTTTTTGGTTTACATAATATTAATGAATGAGGAAAGAGTGACAAAGCAAATTTATGTTGCAGAGGTGAACGGCATAGTCGGGAAGGGTCGCCCTAGGCGAAAGTTTATCGACCAAATTGGCGATATATTAAAAATGGGCCATATCAAGAGTACCTTTAACCGACGAGCGTGTATGCGTAGGTATATGGATGTGGAGGAAGCGAGAGAGGTGTGTCAGGATCGTGCCAAATGGAAGTCCATAATCTCTGCCTACCCCTCTGGGTGACAGGCGTGAGTGTTTATGTATGTATGTATAATATTAATTTCGCGTTTTAGTATTTTAGATTTTAACATGTGACGTCACATAGGTTTTAACACCCCCTGTGCCTTGTCACACAATGTCACATTTTGTTGTCCCCCCCCAAGTGTGATGTAATTTATTATTTATAGCGTTACACGTAAGAATCCATACAGCCCCAAATTATTTCTAATCCGTTTTAGGATTCGTCCCACGGAGTTCGAGAAGCCCGCCGCTGTCGGCCTTGACGTCGTCCAAATTAATTCTCTTAACTGGTTTATAAAACTTGCCTAATAATTAAGTTGGTCGGAAACTGGGGTCATATCGCGGTCAGCTACCTCCTAGAACGCTCTAATTAACGGGTTATTATATCGACTATCACACTTTTCTTACGTGGTAGAGCCATGTTGCAGTTGCATTATGGTTGTAGTACGAATGGGTCGGCTCGACCGGGGAAGGACCACGCTCTCACAGAATACCAGAGTAAAATAGCAGCGTAATGCTGCTGTGTTACTTATGGTGAGTGTAGAGAATCGGAGATCCTTTTTACTGAAAACGAGGCATTCGATCTTAGTTCTCACGGGCGACAACGCATCTGCATTTTGATTATTTATTGAGGATAGATGAAGATGTCTATGGACCACAGCATCCACTTATTATCAGGTGGACTGTGTGCTCGTTTATCACCCTTGTTCTATAAAAAAAACATGCGTGAGTGTCGTGGAACACTCCTTTGGAACGAAGTTCCCTTTGTAGTATATTATTATTGATAAACGTATCGTATTATTGATTAACAAATACAAATAAGTGAATTACTAGCGCCTATTAAAATGAAGCATGGCAAGATAAGAAAAAGTGTGAGGGTGAGGGATATTATTCCATCTCGCTTCCTTATAGCCGCCAAGGCCGTCTACACTGCGTAAGAAGGGGGGAAAAATCTTACACTTTTCTCGCCTAGCCCCCATCCGACGAATTCGTACCGTCCGATAAGGAACTTGGTTCCAAAAAACAATATAAGTCCTCCTCATCATCATCCATCAACTTCCTGAATGTCTTACAAGACTTCCCTTTACTTTTCTTCCCCGTCTGTTGTCGGTTCTTACTGTGGATATTATCGTTCCAAGTTCTGTCACGCAGGGGAAATCTTTTAGTAGTTATTTAAGTACATTATTAGTTTCTTTTAAAACGTCACCTCCACACTAGGAATTTCTACTGTATGGTAGGAGCAGTTTACATACCTACATAAATTTTACAAGGACAAAGATTCAGAGTCGGAACAATTATTTGTAGGCCATACAAATAATTATTCCGTGCGGGATTCGAATCCGTAGCGCAGTGTCTTAGCTCATTGTTAAGCCACTGCGGTACGGATTCGTTGTGTGTAAGGTTAATTGTGCTATAAGTATTAGTAAGTAGGATTATCTTCTATTTCCCTATACCATCTGAAGAAAAACTTTCCATCGAAGTGCTTCCGCAATGAACCAAACAAGGTCTCACCTGTGAAGTCTCAAGTTCGATGCTCGGGCGGTCGTTGCGATGTCTCAGCTGCTCGCACTTTGGAGTGTCGCGGGGAGATAGTGAATAGTGATGTTGCGTCTGGTATTTAAGTCTCTTGGTACGTGAGAGGAAATCATTAAATACCGAAATGGAGAAATGAACCACATATTTATTTTGTGTTTTAG